AAATATATGTATTTAAATATATATTTCTTCTTTTCTTTTATTCTATCATCTATTTTCATATGGTACGCTTTTATCGGGTGGGTATATACTCTCTTTAAATCATAAAATATAAAAACTCGGTCGCGAAAGTAAAATAAATTTGAAATAATACTTTTTAATTTTAAAACAACTGTCCCTCGCGTAAAATATTTGATAGATTTTAAAACTTTCTTTATTTTTTAACACCAAACTTTTCTTAAATTTATTTATTCAATTATTATTTTTTATATCAAACCCTTAAAATTGATCATGCATTTTTACCAAAAATTTTGGCAGATTCCAGGTTCGACTCCTGGCTGAGGAGTTTTTTTCGCAATATTTTACATTAATTCAAATTTAAATTAATTCAAAAATTCACTTGTAAAAATTTACTTGTGAACATGTATGTATATTTGTAATTATAAATACTTGTTATGTACGCATATTAATAGGAAATTACTGATAACTACTTCCCTCTTTAATCTTGGTAAAGTTTATCAGACTAATTAAGAGGCTCATTAATGGTTTTAGAGTGTGAAAGCGATAAGTTAATCTTATTCACACACAAAACATTTTCGGAAAGAATTGTGCTTGCCGCAACCTAGTTAATTTTTTAATTTTAAGTAGTTTATTTTTTATATGTGATAAAAAAAATTTATATTTTTTTTATTTCTAAACATTATTGTATGTTACTTGTTATTATCTTTTGTTTTACACAGTTCTATTTTTTCGAATAAATTTAAAAGTCTGCAGATGCAATAAATGTATCTACAAACTGAAGAATTACGCAATTATTTTTCAAAGTAACAAGTTGAATAAGTAAAGAGCCGGTAAAAAAATTTTCCATGTATGAAATTGTATGGACATATTTGGCATATATATAAATTTTTCATAATTAGATATAATAATTTTAATTAGTGTATAAGTATATACGAAAACTTTTTTACCGGGGATTTGATACAAAATAATAATTTATAAAATATCCAGTGAAACAAGTTTGTTGTCGTTTATTCTAATAAATATTTCGCAATCACCGATATATAATACTATATTATTTATTTATATAACGTATAACGTGCTGAAATTAAGTATTCTTTGTATATGTGTGTCAACCGTGCGATCGTAGACGCGCCTTGACTCATTTTTCATCTCTCTCGTTTATCAAAATACTTATCATTTAGCCATTTCCTTTTAGAGGTAGATATATAAAGGGGTTGTATGTCGTACTTTTTAAAAGTAGTATTTGGTCTTTGTGTATGCGCACACATTTCGTCGTCAACGCAAATGTGAAAATTTTTGTAGTAGAAGAATACGATATTGCATAGTACCACCTAATGATGCCGTTGCAATTACTTGGACATTCGCTCATATTGTTCGTCATTGCGAACAATGTAATACTGGGATATGGAAATTCGGAAAACACGGGTACACAGGAAGCGAGCGAGTTAGTATATATTTATTTTTTATATTTATTGTTTAATAGATATACAAATATATAGTATATCTTCTGCTGTAAAAAAAAAAAAAAAAAAAAAAAAATTCTCTTCTGCAAACGATTTCCGAATTTGAACTGAAGTGTCATTAATGTCATTTTTATACCGACGTTTCACGTGGACATTTCAGTTCACTTCATTAGAGCAGCCTGATATCTCTTCTTTTGTACGTAGGACGGAAAATGTGCTAAACGACGCGCCAGATACAGTAATCACAGATTTCAACAATGTTAAAAGCAGAAAAGGCGGAAGACGTGTGTTTGAGGGAGGTTGCATTCGTGTACCGAATGCGCCTGTAAATGGCAAAATTAAATGTTCTCTCGACAGGTATTTACATCGCACTATTTATTATTAGTAAGTTCTATAACGATATTATATTTTTTATCTCAAGTAACTAGAAAATGTTACACAGCAAAAAAATAATCAAGACATTTATATTAATTTTTGTTAATTTGGTTTTTTTTAATACTGTAAGTTATAGAAAAGTAAGTTATTTTACAATTTGTTTTTTCACATCGCTTCAGACTAAACTACAGAACTGAATTAGAACAGAGAAGTTCATTTGATTTGTAGATGCGAGTTCAGACCAAGTGCACAAGAGTTTTTTTTGCATAAGAAAACTATTCTTTATTGTTTTTTTATTAATATATAGCGGCTGTATCGCAAGTTGCGCACCGGATTACAAATTTCCAAATGGAGCATTTCACTTGAAAATTACCTGTAAAAATAAAGAGTGGCAGATTGAAGAAAGCGAATGGAATACGATACCACATTGCGAGCGTACGTGTAGCAATTTAGTCTGCAACAGATATTTTGGCACGTAACAGAAACGTAACAAAATCAGTTTTTAATCTAAATGCGTTGAACATTTTATAGCCATCTGCATGCCCGAGTGTGTAAATAACGGAATATGCATCGCGCCTCATCATTGTGACTGTCCTGAACATTTTACCGGTCCGCAGTGCCAATTCGAAGATAAACCATGTTTAAATTTTCCTCCGCCCGTGATTAATTCTTATAGAAAATGCAACACGAAGTCAGTAACAAATATTATTCACCACACGCAAAGTTTATTTCTCTATTGTTTAACTTTTTTTTTCTTTGAAGAACGTGTACTGTGTCCTGCATGAATCACTTCTCTTTTCCCGATGGATCGTCTGTTGCTAATCTGATTTGCAAGAACGGAAGTTGGAAAACAACCAGAAGCGATTGGGTGTCAATCCCGGATTGCGAACGTACGTCTATATGATAATTTAAAATTGCATATATGTATATTACAAAAAGTATTTGTAGCGTATTCAACACGATTGTGTATTAACAGCTGTGTGCGATCCGCCTTGTCAGAATGGTGGCAATTGTTTACCGATGAATCTGTGCCAATGTCCTCAGGATTATCGAGGATCTCAGTGTCAATATAGTAAGCAAAGAAAGAAACTTGTATTGTGTTATCATGCAACTCGTAATTTTATTTTATAATTTTATACACAATATAAGAGATATACGCGTCATTTGAAATTTAAATGTTTTTTATATATATATATATATATATATATAAATTACGTACATTTCTTTATATCAATATCAATATACAAATATATTTAATATACGTGTATGATAGCTGCCAACGCTTGCAACACTGAGAAATTACGCTTTAATGGTGGATATTATTGCACTGGTGTCGGTGACTCGTACTCTTGCACACTGAATTGTCCGCCGGGAGTGGAATTCGAATTTCCGCCTGCTGCAACTTACACTTGTACCTACGATAAAGGAATCTTCGAACCGCAACCAATACCTCAGTGTAAAGTTGACAATAACATTAAGATTATTTCGCTTGGCACAACGCAACACATTGGCACTTCCTCCGCTTATGTATCGAATCACTCTTGGTCGATTCAAGATGTCTACAACACGAAAACAAAATATTCTCAAGAAAATTGGCAGCACAGTGTTCATACAAGCAATACATCATCATATCCGGTAAATAATAATAATAATAATAATAATAATTAAGCATAAAAGATAAGCGACTTGCGCGACAGATAAACAGAGTAGGGTCTTGTCGCAGAGTAGCGCTTGAACGTCTGCATGTTTGGAAATTACAGAGCCGGCCTTGTTGCCGGCCACAAGTATGAACAAATACTTGCAACAAATAATAAATATTAAATATTAATAGTAATATTAATAATAAATGTTGTGCGCATGTCATGTATTGAATTATAATATTTAAATTATAGATTCAGTTTAACACAAACAACAATCGCGTAATGGTTCTTGAGATGAATCGACCAAAGCCGAAGACTTGTTTCACCTGGAGCGGCGTGCATTATAAAACTTTCGATGATAAAATTTACAGTCTCAAGAGCAACTGTTCTTATACACTTCTTCGGGAAACCGAAGACGATGTCTGCACGATCATCGCGCTAAATAGTCCGGGCTGCAGAACCGGCTCGAATGGTCGTTGTTCGAAAATTGTAAAACTATTTGTACACGATAAAGAATACACGCTCACTAATGACGAGACGGAAATGCCGATATTTTTCAGCGGTAAACGATTACTACCGATACCAGCGTACTTGCCCGGATTGCATATAGACAAGTCTGCACATTTTATTCTGGTCTCTATTGACTCGCTGGGTGTGAAGCTCAAATGGGACGGGGCCTTGTTACTACAGATTGAGGCATCCGAAAATTTATGGAATAAAACAGCCGGTCTGTGCGGTACGATGAACGATGATCAAGACGATGAATTTTTAACGAAGAGTGGAAACCAAGCGAAAAGTACACTAGCATTTGCAAGTTCTTGGCGCGTGGATAATCTTGAGGGTAACAACACTTGCTTCTCACATAAACTACATATGTATGTACATGTAAATGATGTATAAATTATATAAATTTTGCATGCTTTACTTTGTAGAAACATGTGATGATTATCCGAGTACACAAAATCCTTGTCAGTCGGAAACTGAGTTCGATCGAAACGCTATCGAATTCTGCGTCAAGTTGCTCTCCAACTATAAATTCAAGATTTGTGCCAACACTATAAATCTTTCGGAACTAACAAAGGCATGCTTATGGGATTATTGCGCGTGCGAGTACGATGATAAGAGGAAATGTGCTTGTAATACCATAGATGTGTATATTCGTCAGTGCACTCAGAAAGGAATCACACGATTGATTGAGTGGAGGAACAACGATACTTGCCGTAAATTGATTTAAAAATAATGTTTTTATATAATCAACGTTCTGATACTTATAAAGAATGGAGTTAAATCGAAACAGATCGATGTAGAAAAGTTATAATTTTGTTGCAGCAATTTCCTGCAACGGTGGACGAGTATATATGTCGTGTGGTCCAAAAGTGGAAGCGTCCTGTTTTTCCGGTATCGAAGCAAAAAGTGAAAATTCTGAATGTGAAGAAGGTTGCTTCTGTCCAATGGGTACCTTGGAACATCAAGGCAGATGTATCTCTCCGGACGAATGTCCGTGCAAATTGAGAGGCAAATTGTTCCAACCTGGTACAAGCGTGCCTAAGGGTTGCAACACTTGCACATGCACTTCCGGCAAGTGGGTGTGCACACAAATACGATGTGGTGCTAGATGCGCCGTTGTGGGCGACCCGCATTATACGACATTCGACGGCAAGCATTATGATTTTATGGGAAAGTGCAACTACTACTTGATAAAAGGAGATAATTATACGATCGAAAGCGAAAACGTTCCGTGTTCAGGAGCGATATCAGAAGTTAGTAAAATTTTTTTTCTCTTTTTCTCTCTGTTTCAATTTATTTATAATAATTTAATTAATATGTTTACTTTTTATTCTGTACTATAATGAAAAACAATTTTCTATTTTTATTCACTTTTTTAAATTAATTATGTCTAAAATATTAATTATCATATACTTTTATTTCAGATCATGGGTTTTGCTTCTGTAGATTCCCCCTCGTGCACCAAAACTGTTACGATAAATTTCCGAGATACTTCTATCAAATTAAAACAAAATCGTCAAATTACGATAAATAATAACGAAGTAATGAAATATCCGGTATTCTTTGAAAGTACTCGAATACGAATTGCGAGCAGTATATTTGTAGCAATTCACTTACCAAATGGTTTGGAAGTATGGTGGGATGGTGTTTCGCGTGTATATATTAATGCTCCTGCTGAATTTCACGGTATATACTTTTTTAATAATTTTATACTATAGTTTTTTTTTAAATAGCGTTTCTGATTGAACGGATATTACAGATCGAACGAAAGGACTTTGCGGGACATTCACCGAAAATCAAAAAGACGATTTTCTAACGCCAGACGGCGATATCGAGCCCGCGGCAATTGCTTTCGCAAATAAATGGAAAACAAATGAATACTGCGTTGATGAATCCAAAAACGAACCAAAGCACCCTTGCGAATTAAATCCTCAAAAACGGAAGACAGCTGAAGAATACTGTTCTAAGATACATGGCGACATTTTTTCAGGTAGTTCAGAATATGGAAATAGTCTTTTTATGGATTAATATCAATATATTAATATTTTTATTTATGCTATTCAGATAAAAAAAAATTAAATTACATCATTTTTCTTTCCGTAAATACAGATTTAGATGATAAATATCATCACTTGAAAAAATGTTGTTTTAGGCTGCCACTGGTATGTTGATCCAACGGAATTTTATCGAGATTGCATGTACGATATGTGCGCGTGCGAAACCGATATAAAATCCTGTCTCTGTCCGATGTTAGCAGCGTACGCTAAAGATTGCGCAGCGCTGGGTGTAAAGTTTTTCTGGCGTTCCGAGATTGATGAGTGTAAAATTCATTGCAGTGCTGGCCAGACTTATCAAATTTGTGGAAATAGCTGCACAAGGTAGAAAGTCCATTCACGTGTATTTACTTGTCGGTGAATAATCACGCTATATTACATTATTTGTCGATGCAGATCGTGCACGGACATATCCTTTTATCAGGAATGCAAACAAGAATGCGTAGAAGGTTGCAACTGTCCGAACGGCCAGACGTTAGATGCGAATGGCGAATGCATTCCGATCGCTCTATGTCCCTGCCTATATGCAGGCCGAGAATACAAGCCTAATCATCGAGAAGTCCGACCGGGCACCAAGGGACAAGAACTTTGTTCTTGTATAGGTTGATATTTAACATATTATTTTCAATTATTATAATTTGTTTTTTATAAAGTTTATAAGTTTTGTTTTTTATCATAGGTGGCATATGGGAATGCCGATTAGCAACGTCAGACGAAATAAAAGAATATCCATCGGTCAAAGATCTTCTATCCGTCTGCCATTCCAGCAATCATATGGAAGTGACGGATTGTGAGCCGGTAGTGCAAAGAACTTGCAGTAATATGCACGTGCCGAGCAAACAAACGCCATCGATTTGTACCTCCGGTTGCGTATGCAAGTCCGGATATGTTTTAGACGCGCCGAATGGTGTGTGCATCAAAGAAGAAGATTGTCCCTGCCATCACGGTGGGAAAAGTTACAAGGAAGGTTCGGTTATACAAGCCGAGTGTAATACTTGCACTTGCGAGAACACCAAGTGGAAATGTACAGACAGAATTTGCTCAGGTGACTTTTCTCATTCACAAATAATTACAAAGTAACTACCACCAAAGTACAACACACCGCGAAAGCATCAAATATCAGATTAATTACCACCACTTATTTTTTTATAGACACATTTTATACACACATTTATCTCAAAAATAATTTCAGAAACTGTTAGATCTCAGAGCCATATGAAGTCCAATAAATTATTTATGTCTTTGTTTTTCTAACATATACATTATTACGCTGAAGTCTTTCCGCAGGTATCTGTTCTGTATGGGGCGACTCGCATTACAAGACATTTGACGGCAAAATGTACAACTTCCAAGGTATATGCGATTATGTTCTGGTAAAAAGCGCGCTGAGGAAAGAAGAGTATTTTGACATCTCGATTCAGAATATGCTCTGTGGGACAAACGGAGTTGCATGCTCAAAATCGATCAAACTGATCGTTGGTAGCGGTGAACAGCAAGAAGAGTTGGTTTTAACAAGAGCGAAGGAGTTACCGAAGGGATCTTTCAAGAGAATGACAATAAGAACTGCTGGTCTTTTTGTATTTGTTGACGTACCAGATTTGGGATTAGTATTGCAATGGGACAAAGGTACCAGAGTCTATGTTAGATTAAATCCAGAATGGAAAGGTCGCACGATGGGTTTATGTGGTGATTATAACGACAACAGCGAGGATGATTTCAAGACACCGTCTGGTGGAATATCCGAAGCTTCAGTCAATTTGTTCGCGGATTCATGGAAGAAGGACGTATCTTGCTTTAAGCCAAGAAATCTACAGGATGTAGATATTTGTGAGCAGCATCCTGAACGTAAACTATGGTCGTTACGACAGTGCAACGTGCTCAAATCGTCATTGTTTTCACCGTGTCATTCGGAAGTGGAGGTTGAGCCGTATCTAACTAATTGCATTTTTGACACTTGCAGTTGCGACACCGGTGGCGATTGTGAATGTTTGTGCACGGCGTTAGCCGCATACGCGCATGAATGTAACGCGCGAGGCGTTCCAATCAAATGGCGAATGCAAGAACTTTGTCCTATGCAATGCGACGAAAAATGTAGTATGTATTCACCTTGCATCTCAACTTGCCCGCGCGAGACGTGCGACAACTCGATGACCGTGAAACGCAGCTCGCATCTGTGCGCAGAAGACACGTGTGTTGAGGGATGTCAATTTAAACCCTGCTCCGAAGATTATATTTACCGAGACGCCAATTACACGGAGTGTGTACCGAAGTCTACATGCTCTAAGCCATTTTGTACTGAGATTGACGGAGTGATATATTACGAGGGCGATCGAGTCAGTGGTGACGATTGCCATAGCTGTTTTTGTAGTCGCGGAAAAGTGACCTGCAAAGGAGAAGCTTGTACAACTACTAATATCCCTACCGTACCCTTAGCAGAGTCTGAGAAATGTATAGACGGTTGGTCTATGTGGATTAACAAAGATTCAGCAGTGAATGAAGGAAAGAAGTTGTTGGATGTAGAGCCGTTGCCTAGTTTAACGAATCTTGCCAACGCGGACGGATTCGGAGCTTGCGATAAAGAAAACATGATTGACATAAAATGCAGATCCGTCAGGAGACACTTGAGTCCGAAAGAGACTGGTCTTGACGTGGAGTGTAGCCTGGAACGCGGCTTGTACTGTCAATCACATTATCCAGATCATCTTTGTATGGACTTTGAGATAAGCGTGTTATGTCGCTGCTTCGAACCAGTTACACACGGTGTCGAAATCGCAACAACGGAGATTACAGAACAACAAGAGTGTAACGCAACACATCTCAATCTTCCGCATCCGACTAATTGTCAACTGTTTTATCAATGTGTTCCTCTACTAATGGGAAAATACAAATTGATGGAAAAATCATGCGGTCCCGGCACTTTGTACAACTCGAAAACTCAAGTGTGCGACTGGCCAGCGGAAGTTATACGTACAAGACCGGAATGCTCGAGCGAGTTGACCACAAAATCTACCGTAAGTAGTACATTTGAATGGAACAACGCTAGTTACACCCACAGTTATGAAAATAAGACAGTATCGATGTCAGCGAACAAAACAATGACGACAACGACGACGAACGTGTGCAAAGACGGCGAGATGTGGAGCGAATGTGCGATTCAGTGCGCCAGGACGTGTCAGTATTATCGTCACGTCTTGACGATAAGAGGCGATTGCGTCGAAGATACCGACTGCGTTGTCGGATGCGTCTCAATTTACCAGCCAACTTGTCCTCCGGATAAATTATGGATAGACAGTACTACTTGTGTAGATGCAAATCACTGTCTATGTAAGTCTCACGATGGAGTCCCAGTCGCGCCGGGTGCTATCAGGAAGGAGTCGGACTGCGAGACTTGTCAATGTATCAATAATTATTACACTTGCGATACAACTGTCTGCAATACTAACGTATCAAGCTTTGAAAGAACAACCGAAAGAGAAACAACCGTCCCTATGGAATTCAGTACAACTGTAAAGAGTACTTGGGAAACACCGATTATCGTGTATAGCACAGTCAATCCACCTGGCGAGTGCAACGACGCAAATTACGTGCCACTGATACGGACCCTACAAAAAGAAGTGACCATCCGTGCCAGTAGCAGTAAGGATTCTCCATTACAACCTGAAAATCTATTACTGCATATGAAAGGAACTGAGATATCAACTGAAACATCTAGGAAATACTGGGAACCCGAGATGATGGACACAAATCAGTGGCTCGACATTGAGTTCAATAAACCTGAACCGATTTATGGAGTGATTTTGCAAGGTGGCATTACATCAGACAAGTACGTGACCAGTTACAAGGTGCTTTTCTCGGAAAATGGTCAGACCTTCTCACATGTACTGAATTATGAGAAACAACCGCGCGTGTTCAGAGGACCTGTCGACAAAATTCAATCCTCAGAGCAAAGATTTGATCAACCGATCGAAGCAAAGATTATTCGTATCAAGCCTTTAACGTGGCACAACGGTATAGCAATCAAAATAGAAGTAATTGGTTGTCAGGATCACACAACGTTAACAAGCGTGCAGCCAACAATAAAATCGACTACGATCTCGGAAATTGTGAAACCGGTGTGCGAGGATTCAATGGGATTGGACAACGGACTGATGACTTTTGAACAAGTCTTACTCTCGAGCTCGCCGCAACTCATTCAGGATCTTTCGTTATCGTCGGAAGGTGTGTGGCGTGCCAAGCTAGACAATCCGCATGAATACGTTCAGTTTGACTTTCTAGAGGCTAGAAATTTAACCGGAGTCACGACTAAGGGAGGCAACGATGCTTGGACAACCGCTTACAAAATATTCTACGGCAATGACGGACGCAACTGGAACCCGGTTATCGACGAAAACGGTAACGAGAAAGTGTTTCTTGGTAATTACGATGCAGAAAGTCAACATACTAACTTTTTCGAAAAACCGTTACATGCGAGGTTTCTAAAAATACAACCCATTAAGTGGCATAATCATGTTGTATTGAAAGTCGAAATACTCGGTTGCTATGTAGCGTATCCTACTACAGTATCGGAGATACCTACAACAACAAGATCGACAACAATATCATTTGAACAAGAGTGCAATGTGTGCGACGGAGTCATTGATGAGACAAAGTCGAGTAACACAAGTTGCAGATGTCAAAATCCCGATTGGTGGGACGGAGAGTCGTGCGTATCAAAACAAGAATGTCCTTGCGTAGTCGGGCACGTTCCTTACGCAATAGGCAGCGTCTACGAGACGGAGGATTGTCAAGAATGCGTCTGCGCTTTAGGTGGAACGGCTGTGTGTTTTCCGAAGAAATGCAAAACTTGCGAACTAGGACTGCGATCCGTCCTTAGCGAACTGTGCACTTGCTTGTGTAAACCTTGTCCTGTAGGCACCAAACACTGTCCCACGAGCAATATATGTGTCAATGAAACTGCATGGTGCGACGGCGTTCAAGATTGTCCGGATGACGAAAAAGATTGTCCAAAGGTAATGGAAACGACACCTGTTACGATCGAATTTACGGAAATGACCAGCGTGATCAGTACGGAGGTCACGTCTTTCAGTACCGTCTCAGTTACGCCGTTGATATGCGAGGAACCGTCTTGTCCTCCCGGTTACAAAGTGGTTTTGACGCGATCGTCTCCTAACAAATCACGTTACAATGTTAACACAAACGTAAAATCTAAAGGTCGTAAAGACTTTCGAAAAGGTCATGGGAAGGATCCGTTCCAAAGTCGACCAATAAAAGACCAAGAGTATCAGCTAGCGGAAAATATCGAGTGCCCTGAATTTATTTGCGTGTCTACTAAACCTCCGCCTATTCTGCCTGGCGGTGACATAAAACCGAAGGAATGTTCGGAGCCGTCGTGTCCGCCACAGTACGAGGTGGTGTTTGAAAAGATAGGGATGTACAAGACGTACGAATGTCCCAAATATGCGTGCCGACCGGTGACTCCACCAGAGGTAATTTGCAATGTGACGGGAAGAACATTCAATACATTCGACAATATGGAGTATAAGTACGATATCTGCAATCACATTCTAGCTCGAGATATGTACACTAACGAGTGGTATATTACGCTGGAGAAACTATGTGTCAAACAACGTCAAGAACAACATTGCACTCGGATTCTAACGGTCATATTGAACCAGCGCGCAATCGTGCTTTATCCGGGCTTACACGTAGACATAGATGAATATGCTTTTACGGCTGAGCAGATTGCGCACTTCGGAAATCGTCTCCCCGGTTTTGAGCTTTCGCGCACAGGCGACAGGATTATTCTCATCTCGCATCACTATGGGTTTTGGGTAATCTGGGATTCGAATGCCAACGTGAAGATTGGCGTCACTACAAAATTAGCTGGTCGTGTGGACGGCCTGTGCGGATACTTCGATGGTAATGCAATAAACGATCGTCAGACACCCGACGGGACACAAACAAGGAGCACCGTTGAGTTTGGAAACAGTTGGGCTATGGAAAATTCATGCGATCAGCATGTGTGTCCACGGGATCTTCAAGAACAAGCTTGGACGATTTGTAATTCTGTGAAAAGATCAACACTGCTGAATGCGTGCTCCGCGGTCATCGATTTTGACAGGTTGATATTGTATATTCTATATATAAATAAGAAAATATTTTAATAACTTAAATGTGAAAAAACGTATATATTTATAAATAATGTTCTGAATAAAAGATCATGTTATTTCACTTGCGTTATTGTCTGTAGATTCGTGTCTCGCTGCGTGGAAAGTACTTGTTCTTGCCTGCACGCTTCTAATAGCTCCTATGAGGATTGTCGTTGTCACCTACTGACAAATTTTGTCGGTGAGTGCAAAGCCGCCAGCGATTCTAATATGGATCTATTAAGAAATTGGAGAACTGTTTACGACTGTCCTGTAAGCTGTCCACCGCCATTCATCCATCGGGATTGCTTTCGTAGCAAGTGCGAGATTACTTGCAACAATTTGCACGAGATAGAACCGTGTCCACCTATGCGAGGCATTTGCTTCCCCGGTTGCTTTTGTCCAGACGGATTGGTACGTCGAAATAACGAGTGCGTGCCTCCGACGCAGTGTCGGGACTGTATATGCGATGGCCTCGGCAATGCCCAATTTATCGACTTTGAACGCAGGAATTTCAAATTCGCAGACAACTGCACTTACTTATTGTCAGGAACTGTCTTGGAAAACGTGAAGAATCTGGATAAAGCACGAGCATATCAAATTTTAATTACTAACGGGAATTGTGCTACTGGCACATGCACAGAAGCTATTACATTGCTTTATGATGATCATGTAGTGCAAATAAAATATATGGAAAAATGGAGAAAAGAACTACAGATGTTAATTGATGACGTCCAAGTAAAAAACTTCCCAAGCAACCGCACATGGATCGTGCTAGATCGAACACTTACCGGAGATATGACTCTGCTGATACCATTTATTCAACTGGAACTCGTTGCTGTTTCACACAATTTCGTATTTACCTTGAAACTACCTTCGCACATTTTCAGCGGTATCACCGAAGGTTTGTGCGGCAGCTGCAACGCCGATGCTGAAGGTGGTTTTAAGAAACGTGATGGAAACATCACCGACAATGCCGAGGACTTTGGCAAATCTTGGTTAATGGAGAATCTACCAGCACAATTAAAATTAAATGACCAGACATGTTCTAGTAATCGTCAACCTCAATGTACGCCTCCACCAGCAGATGAAGATATTTGCATAAAGTTACTAAATTTATCGGAATTCAAGCGTTGTCACAACATTGTCGATCCAAAACCATATTTGGATTGCTGTCATAACGCGTTGTGCACCGGCGGAAATTATTGTGACAGTTTGGAGATGTACGCAAGAAAATGTTCGGAAGATGGTTTGTGTCCAGCTTGGAGAACCGACGAGATCTGTCCGTACGAATGTCCTACAGGTAAACTGTTATTTAAAAGTTAATCTCTTATCACAAGTTATTTCTTACAATTATCATAATTTCAGATTAATATAATAATATATTTATATTTTGTGAAATTAAAACAAAGAAATTATAAAAAACCTAACAATAAAAATTACAATACTTTATTTTTGCTACTTTATTTAATACAAAGATTATGTTGTTTAAATTATTTCGTGTTGTAATTTATTTATTACTTTTTCAGATTTGTTTAAAATTAAGATAGAATATTGTTAACTTTAATAAACAAGTTTGGAAAAAGAAATTTTTAAATTATTCTTTTGTCTACACTTAGATTTTGTCTATCAACCATGCCGTTACGATTGCAAAGAAACATGCGATACTTGGATGAACAAATCAGACAATCGAGATTGCACATCCGTTCCTGTCGAAGGATGCTTTTGTCTAGAAGATCACGTATTACACAATAATTCCTGTATACCGAAAAAAAATTGTTTTGTCTGCGATAAGGATAATCATGTAGAGGGAGATATCTGGCATCCGGATAAATGCACTGAATGCAGTTGTAACGGTCGAGTTGTGAGTTGTCAAAAGACAGAATGTCCTGTAGTGGACACGATATGCGAAGAAAATATGACACCGGTGCTTATTAATGGAACCGAAGAGAGATGTTGCGCCAAGTATTTATGCAGTGAGTTAACAGCATCTCGATAAATACTTCTAATATATACATATTTCGTCGAAATAACAATATATCATTTGTATATATTTGCGTTAATAATTTAACAATTTTCTCATGTAGGTCCAAAACCAACAGTACCAACAGTATGTGTCGAACCTCAAGAGCTAGAATGTGGCTTTGGTCAGACGATGAAAGCAATTATTGATGCTGATGGATGTCACAAATTCGTATGCCGTATGTATAATAATGGCTTTTTTACAAATTTATTTGTCTGACCATACATATGTCTGATGGAAAATATACGACTATATAATTTTAGAATGTCTGCCTATAAGCGAATGCCCCACTTTCAACGAGCTTACAAATGACGTTGAACAACCTGGCCTCATACAAGTAATGAATACATCAGGTTGTTGCCCGCGACCAAGTAAAATATGTGACCCAAAAACTTGTCCTTCCGCTCCAAATTGTCCAGATTATTACAACACATCTATAAAAACACTTGTGGACAGTTGTTGCCCTACTTATGAGTGTGGTATAGTTTCAATTTTTTATATTTATTTGTTTTATATTTAAAACAAATATATAAACATTTTTTTGAAAAAGTAATATTATTTAATATTTAACATTAGTGCCTCCAAAAGACGTTTGTCTTTATACAAATAATGATCAAGGCAAGCAACATGTAATAGTAAAACAACTTGGAGAAGAGTGGAAGGACGGCAAATGCAAAACATGCGTATGCGAGAATTCGTATAAAGATCCTAAACCCAACTGTTTGATTACGGAGTGTCCAAATATCAATGATCATTCTGATCTGAATGACTATATATTGGAGGAAGTAGTACTGGATGATAAATGTTGTACAATCTTTGTACGTACTGCCTGCAAATCGAAGGACAAAATATATCATGTAAGAGAAAGTGTATATTAACATTTTATGTGACACAATTTCAAATATTTATTTGAAAATAAACATTTTCTAATATGTTGCCAACACCAATGTTTTGACAGGTTGGCGAAATCTGGAAGCCTAACGATGAAAATGCTTGCGTTACGATGCAATGTGACAAAGATTCAAATGGTGTGCAAAAACTAATTAAAGTTCAAGAATGTAATACCACATGCGATTATGGTTACGAATACGAAGCGCCTATTGACATCAGCATTAATTGTTGTGGAACGTGCGTCCAAATTGCATGCATTGTAGAAGGCATGCTTAAGAGGATAGGAGAGCAATGGTACTCGAACGATCATTGCACGACGTTCTTTTGCAAATCAGCAAATGAAAGTGTAAGAAATGATTTTTAATATCAACATAATCTTACATTATAGATTGATAGTCTGATGAAATTAATTTATTTTTAGGTATACATAGAAGCGAATACTGAAACTTGTCCAGAAATCGATCCGCAATTAGAATCCGAGTTTGAGATAGAAATACGCAAAATTCCAGGAAAGTGTTGTCCGGAAATTGTCAAAACAGCTTGTCGTAGCAACGGAAAATTATACAAGCCTGGAGAAAAATGGAAATCTCTGACGGATAACTGCGTTATTGAAACGTGTGTTGGTCCAAATATAACAAAGCACAAAGAAATTGAAGTTTGTACAGAACAATGTGGTCAAGTAAGAATATTATAAATTTATTCTATACACACACACATACACACATGTATAATACGCTCAATATTACACACATATAACAATGATCAATTTTTAAGGGATGGACGTACAAAGAACCAAAAGATAATGAATGTTGCGGAATTTGCAAGCAAGAGTATTGTGTCTACAACGATACATTGTACTCACCTGGTATAACATCTTCTAATAATGATTGTGTTACTTACACATGTATGGAACACAATAACCAGGCAAGTTTTTTTTGTCTCACATATTTTTCAAATAACATATTTCCAACAATTTACAGTTATACGTAATTAATTATGCTTGAAGTAGTAAATATTATTTAATTTATAAATNTTTTATATAAATTTAATTTAATTTATAAATTTATAAATTTATAAAAAATTTATATATAAATATAATATCTATTTAATTTATAAATGTTTATATTATATGATTTTAATTATTGTAGCTATCTCTTGCTGTAAGCACTGTTACTTGTCCAGATATAACAGGTTGTCCAAATGAATCAATTTATTTCGATCAATGTTGTAATCGATGTAATTTAACCATTCTTAATATAGAAGAAAAAAGTAAGTAAAATAAATAAATGCAAGTAATTTCATCTTATTCGCATATTTATATACTTTAGCTGATTATTAATATATCTGATTATTTTTCTAGGCAAATGCAAGCCAAGTGTTATGGATGCAAAGAGCACTATAGGCATGCTGATTGTAAATCATCCTTTACACGGGAAATGTAAGAATGTAAATGCTATTGAAGATACGAGATATTGCAGTGGAACATGCCAATCTTCGACATTTTTTGACAGTGGTAACAAAATAAATAAAATTATACTGTGTAAGGGCCTGAGCACAATAGGGAAAATATTAGAAATAAGAATTAAAAATAGAAGTTAAATGTACTATACAATGATAAAAAATAAAATATAACATATAAATACAGGAAGTATGTCATGACTGCATGATATACAGCCTATATTTATATACATTTATGTTATATTTTTTTTTTTGCATTGTGCATCACATTTAACCTGTTTTTAATTTCTATTCCTAATATTTTCTCTATTGTGTTCAGGCCCTAATTATAGTCAAACTTTGCTAAAGTAAAATCTTCGTTACCGGATTTGAATAGCAGAATGTTGTTGCACCGGATTAGAAAGACTTCTACTTTAGTTTTTCAAGTTAATATTTGAATTTTATTAGTTGATTTTAAACTATTTGTACGAAAAACTTGCGTCCTCTAGCGTGCTTGTCACAATACTATAATAAGTTCCACTTGACGCTCGCAACAATCGCGTAAGTCGAGTTTACGATGTTCTGCCGCATTGGTCGATTTGCCAGACATGACCAATGCAATTGGATAATGTGGATGCAGCCTGCGTTCGTGATTGTCGCGAGCGCCAAGTGGAACATACTATACTGCGTTCAATTTGAGAAGAGAATTTTACTGCGCATAGGAGAAAAAAGCGAGCAAAGTAGGGATAGCGTTGCGTGCGGAATTGGTTGAACACTTGCTGACAGCCAATGGCTGTGGAGTAAGGAGACTTTTTAGTAGGGGAGGCGCGCGAAACGGACAAGTTTTTGTCCATCTGGTTTCTCTTCTCAAATTGAACGCAGTATACATAATTCTCTTCCATGAGAGGAATTCTTTTACTTTAATGATGTTTGTTGACTACACAATCTTGGAGCTACAATAATGATTGGTAGTTTGAAGTTTGTTCTCTTTTTTGTTCTTATAGGAAGTTGGAATCAAGTGAACGATTGTCAATGTTGTCAAGTAAAAGAATATGTTACCATTAATGTCGACCTGATGTGTGAAGACGGCAGAAGATTAAAAAAGCAACTAGCAACACCCAGTTCTTGTTCCTGCCAGAGTTGTACTTCCTTGAAAATGAAGAATGAAAATAAGAAAGGGCTGCGGTTCTTCGAATAAATAATAATTCGGATATCCGAATAGTGACGTNATCGACTATTCGTAATCCGGATACTTCGAAGTATCTGGATTTCGAACAGCTAGAGAACGAATATTTTTACACTCCGAATAAAACGGATAGAACAATTCAAATAATGAAGGTCGCATTGTGCAGTCAAACATGTAACTTGCGACATTTCTCTCTCACTATTTTAAGATTGTAAACCTTACATTATAATCAATGTGTGTGTATATGTATTAACCAAAAAAGACTAAAAGTTAATTTATAAAAAAGTAAATTAACATGTTAGAATTTCTATTAGCCTTTATCTATATGCACTTATTTGTTAAAAAATCTATCTTGATTGTTTATTTGTTACTCATGTAATTATAAATGAAAAAATATACCTCTATTATATTGCGTACGTGAACATCGTCTTTCATCTTGTCGAGCCGGCTTGAAGTGGAAAGGAGACGGAACATAATATGTCTGCACTCTTCCACGAGCCGACGTGCCGAGCGTGACGTCACGCACACGGACGGCGGTTTTCGCTTGTGTGCGTGTTCTCAGTGGCTCTCATCTTTTTTTTTTTTTTTTTTTTTACTTGGGGAAATGCCCGCGCACACCCTGACTCCCGGGGGGAGAGCCAGGGTAGTGTGGGACTCGAACCCACTAAAACCCCAAGGTGGTCCTCTAGCACGCGTAGAGGGAAGGCCTGGAAAGCCTGAGAGGCTATTACCTCCCGACCTTCTCTCCCGTGCACCAGTGACTGATAGTCACAAACTGCCAATTTACTTGGTGAGGAGGTGGGACCACCACATCTCCTCACCACTTCCCGTGGGAACCGCGTGCAATGGCCGAGAGGAGCCCCCGCTCCCCCCTTCCTGCGGTTTGCCATCTGTAATCTAACTATACATGGATAACAGAATCAAATTAGCAATCGGTCAGAGATAATAGCCATCACACATAAAGAGCCGTCTACAATGGAGAGTTGTAGGCCGTAACAGTAAAAAATTGACAAATCACAATCGATTATTCTTCTGTACTTTGTCTGTGATTGGTCAATTTCTTACTATTACGGCCTACAACTCTCCATTGTAGACGGTTCTTTAAGTAACTTTATGTGCGATATCCTTAACGAGGATAGTTTGTACGATAAAAAAGTGGAAAAAATACAAATAACACATATGTTCAACTGTGAAGTGGTTTTACATTTATTAAGTTACACGTATGATTCAGGAAATTCAAATGTCACATCCCTTCCGGTCAATTGTTTATACACGGAAGCAAACGTATCAACCTGTGTAAAATATACATTACAAAAGTTATTTCTCTTATATATATATATATATAATAAAAAACAATTTATGTACATATAATATATGTGTATATATGTAATAAGTAAAAATAAGTTTTTCTTCCTCGAGAAAATGTATAAGTACCTTGTGTTCGATATTTGTTTGCTCATTTTTATCAAGATGTACTTTGATAACTTGAGATCCATCGAGTTTAACTCTAATACGTTTACCAACGATCTCCACGGGGTATACAATATCTTCTAACAAAGCGTCATAAACTGCAGTTAATGTTCGGCTATACACCAAAAGGAGACAATAATTATTTTAAAAATCAAATATTCTCCTCGTTATATAAAATATTTATAGAATGTATGTTGACTGTATTTTAACAAAATACATATTTTTACCTCCTTGGACGCTTCTGCTTGTTTTTTGTACGTGTTTTCCTCGTTGGTTTTGGTAAAATTTTACGCTCTCCAACAAACATCACGTGCTTACCAGAAAACTTTTTCTCCAGTTCACGAACTAATCTAGTTTGGATTTTCTGAAATGCCTTTAGTTTTGGCATTGGCACATATATAATAATAGACTGTAAAGAATATCAGTTTATTTTCTCAAGAAAAAAATAAGTACAATACTTGTGATTTCTACATAAAACTAGAAGTATCCTTTGTGTGTATTAAAGAATATAAAATAATATAAAAGAATATTATCTATGAGGAAGTTTACCTTCTTATTATTTGTTTCTATTTCTTTTGCTTTAGTGATATAAAGTTCCCGTAAATGAGATTTCAAATCACTATTCATTTCAAGTTCTAAAAGAGCATTAGAAATGCTCGCCTCGAACTGGTCGGGCTCAGCCCCGCCGCTTTTAATTATTTTTGCGTTGGCTGTAAACATCTGAAAAGATTTTGTGAAAGTTAGAACAATGTGAGTCTTGATGAATTTTTTAACTGTTTCTGTAAAACTTTTATTTAAATTTCTATAATAGAAACTCAAACACAAACTTCGTGCAAGATCGCGTCAGATAAGTAAAAATAAATTTTTATAATGCGGAATTGCAACCATGTAATACACGTGAAAATCATGAAAGCTGACAAGATCCATTGTAATCATAGCGCACATTTACGATCCGCGGAAAATACTGATCGTTTCGTGTACTTATAATACTACAAATAATACATATCGTAATATTTCATATATTTAAGTACTTCAAAACAACATACATTATTCTATTCTAGTAAAGTGGAATTATTAAATACACACATACCTTGTTTAATCGCCAATTAGATGGAAAAAGGACACGGAATATTTCAACGTAGATATGCCAAATTTACACCATAACCTATGACAAATTCATAGATGCACAGAGAGGTCTTCTCTCATACTGCGTTCAATTTGAGAAGAGAAACTAAATGGACGAAAACTCGTCCGCTTTGCGCACTCAGTCTAAGGGCGACGTCCCATTGGGCGGAAATCTATAGCGGAACGGAATGTGCGGAACCAGCTCGACCAATCATAGCCATTCCGTTTTCTTTCCTTCGCTTTCTCTGTGGTTACGATTGGTCAAGCTGGTTCCGCACATTCCGTTCCGCTATAGATTTCCGCTCAATGGGACATCGCCCTAAGGTTGCCTTTAAAACTGCCTTTACATGCGGCGTAAAGACCGAATCACATTAGCAATTGACGGTTAGTTTGCAATTGCGATTGGCGATTGACATTTATTCAATGACACTTACGGCCGATTTCTTCATACCTCTCGATAGCTATCCTCTAGATAAATTCTTCTGAGAACCAATAAGGAGAACCAATTTTGGGAGATATCTTTTAGATAAAGTTATCGAAAACTTATCTAGAAGTGAAAAAATTGGCTGTTAAAGACCTAAAGTGTGATTGGATAAATGTCAATCGTCAATCGCCATTTAATATACACATTTTTAAAGGGCCTTCTACAATGAGATATTAGTAATAAATCAGAAGCAAGAAATTAACCAATCACAGTCAAATCACGGAAGAATAATCGATTGTGATTAGTCAATTTCTTGCTTCTGACTTCTGATTTACTACTAATATCTTATTGTAGAAGGCCCTTAAGGCCGAAGCACAGACTTTTGCATAACGCATAAAGGGTCGTCTACAATGGAGAGTTTTAGACTGTAACAGTAAGAAACTGACAAATCACAATCGATTATTCTTCTGTACTTTGTCTGTGATTGGTCAATTTCTTACTATTACGGCCTACAACTCTCCATTGTAGACGGCTCTTAAGAAAATCAATCAATCCAGCTTTTCGTTTTCATCCCTACTTCTTGTTCTAGAAAGCTTTGATTGGTTGATTCTCTTATGTCTTGTGCGTTGTGCGTTATGCAAAAGTCTGTGCTTCGGCCTTTATAAAATTGGTCGCTCTCGGTTTTCTTTCTGATACGTGTACAGTCTATGGTATACACAGTCATTTACACGATCCTTGGACACGTTTATGGTTATCACATTTGACAATAAACAGCGTACCGCGTTGTATGACTTGGAGTTAACAATTTGCCGACATGGGTGAGTCGTGATCTTTTCGTTTATTTCTTCAGTACATTACACATTTATTTTGCACAAATAAATATTGTATAACATCACATTTGTGGTTATTATGTATTGTGTCTACTATCAAATTATTCGGACGTTTTTGCATACGCGAATTTTTTGACATTGTTTTTTACAGGTGGGTTGCTCAGCTACTTCCGTAACTTGCTTGGCAGCCGCGAGATGCGCATCTTGATTTTGGGCCTAGACGGCGCTGGCAAAACCACAATTTTGTACAGGTTTGCTTTGGCAGTTTTTACCAAAACCCTAGTTGTTTTCTCCTTTTGAGATTGTGATTTGATAAGACTAAAAGTGATCATATTATGTACATATCTTTATAGTATTTTTCTATGTTGATCCAAAGTAACACTTTCTCTTAGTTACATGAGAAGTTGTATTTTTTGCATGGAATTTAAACAGTGTAGGAAATGAGAACATAAACTTTTTTAACTGATTATTTATTAGATTGCAGGTGGGTGAGGTAGTAACTACAATACCAACCATAGGATTTAATGTAGAACAAGTTACATACAAAAATTTAAAATTCCAAGTCTGGGATCTCGGTGGTCAAACAAGTATAAGGTGTGTACAATTCAAAAGTTTTCTACAAAATTTGTTTATTCAAATAATCTTGTATATTGTTTCCTACACATGTAAAGGTTTCAAAATATTTTTATCATACTCATATTTTATATTTTAGACCTTACTGGAGGTGTTATTATTCAAATACAGATGCAATAATTTATGTAGTAGACTCAGCAGACAGAGATAGAATAGGCATATCAAAGGATGAATTAATTCTCATGTTACAAGTGAGCAACATTTTTCTTATAAATAATTTTGTACACTTTGAGTAGTAGACAATCTTTATTTGTATTAAAATATCTGGTAGTTTCTTGAGAAATTATCACATGTGATTCTAATATTGAAATATCTTAAAACAACTTTTTTTTCATATGTTTATAACAATTAAAACTGCAAAATGTTTTAATTTTAAACAGGAAGAAGAATTACAAGGTGCCATTTTGGTAGTACTGGCAAACAAACAAGACATGGCGGGGTGTCTAAGTGTTGCAGAAGTTCATCAAGCACTTGGATTGGACGCTTTGAAAAATAGAACCTTCCAAATATTTAAAACTTCGGCAACAAAAGGCGAAGGTCTTGACCAAGCAATGGACTGGTTGTCAAATGCACTGCAAAGTAGAAAATGATGGATGTTTCGTCAAAGTTATTCAAGCCTTATAAAAGGACTAGTCTTACGACTGTCACTTTGAACATGTTGCTGGGTTGGTACCAGACAGTGTTCTGTTTATTTATTGTGTAATTATTATATTTTAAATATTCTTTGCAATTTGCAACAAGAATATTCAGATCACTGTACTTCACAATGTAAAATACGCGATACTAATCATTTTATGATTAGTATCTCTCATTTATACTAATCATTTTATGATTTTACTTGATATATGTTTATAAAAAGATTCAACGTGATAAACTTTTAGATTTCTTGGATTTTGTTCACTGATAAATACAACGTTCTATACTTCTGCAATTGTAGTATTGCGGTACTGCTAGCATTGTGAGAATAAAAAAAGCCTCTTTTTTCTGTTAATTGATAATTGATTAAAAAAACTGCTTTGATATTTAATCTTCACAAACTGGAGAAGTTGAAATATATAAAACAAGAATATTTCACATTCAAATCTGTACATAACATACCAACTCGGAATTACTTTTTCCAAGCACACAAGAATATACACATAAAATAAAATTTTAACACGGACAAGACACAATGTGTCGTACTCTAGCATTTATAAAAATTGTTACGCAATGTAAAAGTAAAGTTAATGTCGCAAAGAAATATTAGTAGTAGAAGTGGTTTAAATATTTCTTGTATTTATTAAGTATTGTCTCATCTCTCATTTTTTAAGTCACTATATTTGAGAGATCTTTATTTAATTGAGATATAATTTAATATTTTTAAGATTTTACTCAACAAAATATGCCAAATAATAGATCGTGATTGCTAATATTTCCTTCAACATAGCAGCAAATTTTGGTAATTAATTTATGTACTGAGAGATATAATATAAATACTATTTCGTAATAAATATTTAAAACATTATTGTGTAAATTTATAGATAATCTCGCTATTTGTATATATATCTACATATATATATATATATGTAGTGATACTAGCATTTACAAAATGAACTTACTTTAACGTGACAGAAGTTACGATTGTTCTTCTTTTGTTACCAGTCTGGAATGCCGAACCTTTGAATCCGTTTAACTTTTGCAGCCATATCCATTCGAGATTTTACTCTCATGTAAAATATTGGACAGTCACGACTGAAATCAAGATTTTTAAGTATTATTCTTATATTTTTACAGATGCGCAGTTCAGTGCTAAAAACGTGTATATCCGGAAAAAGAGGGTAATATTACACATATAAATTTCATATTGATTAATACAACTAACTTGGAACATATAACTTCTTGATGAAGACTCCCTTGACATCTTTGACATTCCGTCCATAACCGAGCAAACTTCTCTTCCAGTTTGTGTTGAGCCTGCAATTCATTGTGGAACAGTTCGGCCTCTTTAGATTCACAATGCTTACACACCGCCTTTTTCTCCCTCTCCGGCGGTAATACGGACTTGCAGCCTAAACAGGTTTCCTTTTTGCGCGTGAAGGCTGCGAGCGCTCCAACTTGTGAAGTGGCAATACATCTTGTCCGCGTATGATCTCCTTTCAGAAGAAGCGACTCTGCCTTTTCTCCAAGGATGGGCTCGAAGATGCGCACGAGAGGCTTCGCCAATTGATTCTCTAGATAATAAGTCGTGTCTATTGGGATGCTGTTCTGCAACGCGTAAACGGGATCTTCCGCTTTCTGATAGGCTGGAGTGCCTTTGGCTGCGCTTGTGAACACATACGCTACTCTGTCGCCAAGTTTCGGCGCGTTTCCAGGATCTCGTTTCTTCATCTTCGCCGCCAGCTCAACGTGTGCTTGCTTTGCTGCATAATCCGTTTTTGTCAATTCTTTTGTGATGACTAATTGAGAGAGATCGATACGATTACACAGAAGATCGCTTATAACTTGTTTAGCATAATCCACCGCTGCATGAGGATTTCTGTAATTATGTTTTTTTACGTATGTACTGCATAAATCATATATAAAACGAATAATTGAATATTGGTGAATAAATAACATAAAAATATACCTTTCAATCAACAATATTTGTAGACAAGTATTCATCATGTTTGCGACTAGCGGGCAATTATCTCTACGAACTGTTTCAAGACCTTTGCAATCCATTTTGTCATATTTATCAGGTTTCGTAAAGTACAGACCGGCGTAACGTTTCTTGTTAATTAAAAGATAGGGGAAATACACTTTTTCGAACTCGAGCTTTATAGGCTTGATGAACTTGGATGTCACGTAATCTGCCGCCTCTTTACCGAGCTTCATCGCATCCTCTATAGACGTCACGCCAAATTTTACCATAACGGAATCAGTATCGCCATATATGACTAATGCATCATTTTTGTATCCGTTTTCTATTCGAAAGTGGTCTTCCACTTCTTGCTTTGTATGCTCTATCATAGTACGTCCATAAGCGGTGACGCTCTGTAATTATATTCGTTATATATTATATATGTAATGTTTTTTTCATACATAATATATACATTTTTTTGCAAACTTACAGCGGATATTTCCAAGCATGGTAATTTTCCTACTTGCGCACCCGTAAAACCATATACTGAATTTGCTGACACTTTCAAAGCGTATTGTCTACCATCGAGCACTTTTTGTTTCAATGAATCTGTTTCTTGCTTCAATTCTGCTTTTGCTTTTTTCCTGGCTGTCAATAAGTTCTCCAAGATCTCAGGAAGAATCCCTTTTCTTGTAGAACTCTTGACAAAAAGTACATTAGTCGGGGTTATGGTGACTTCGTCTTCCGGAATATTAAGTTCCCTCTTTTTAGAATAATTTAATAATGTTGTGTAACATAAATTGTGCGCCATGATAATGCTAGGATACAGAGAACTAAAATCTAAAGTAGCTATTGGGTCGTTGTAGTAACCACGTTTTGGTTCTATAACAGTAGCTCCTTCGAATTGCTCATCAGAACCATGACCTTGGTGCACCGGCATCAAGTAGTCTTTTTCTCGGGTCTGATAACATACAACATAGTACATCAACATCATAATTTTTTCTTAATTTGTCTTAATTTGTGAGTTTACCTTACGTAGAAGTTGAGAAATAACTTTGATTTGTTGCCCACGAGTTAATAAACTAGTAATGGAAACTCCTGTAACTCTTGCCATCTCCATATAAATAATTATACACATTAACTTATCTAGTAATCTAAGCGGCAAATACGCGTCTTTCAAACAATATATAGCGAGACGTCGACGTGTCAACGCGTTTCCGTTCTGTAGTCCTGTAATATCTTTATGGTGAACGTCTTCTTTTTGTTCTTGAAGGAAATGATATGATACTGCATTTAGCGTATAGGATCTTAGTTTATAATCTCGGATCAATACCTAGTACATATATATACATATGTTTTCATTGAAGCTGACATCAAAATATCATATTAATATCAATTTTCTTACCAACAATAAATCAAATGGCACTCGTCCTTCAAAATTAGTTGATTTGTTCTCACGACGACCTATTTGTTTACTTTGCAGTATATGATCCTTGACAACAGACTTTATATTCTTTATTCGACCGAGAAAATTGAAGTTTTTAACATTAAGATGTTGGGCGCGATTGATTAGATACGGAAAATCGAAGTTATTTATGTTATAGCCTGTGAAAATGTCAGGATCTAATTGCCGCACGAAGTCAGCCCATTTCTTGTAAAAGAAATTGTCGTTGTTAAAGAATAAATTTTAATATTGAAAATATTTTACTTTCCTACGTAAAAAAATTAAATTTACCTCCAACATTAAACTTTCTTTGTCATAGCTTAGTACTTGGCAACCAACGATAGGAGCACAGGTACCGAGAGTGAAAATGTTTCGTAAAAATGGCTCAGACTCGCCTTGTCTTATTACCATATTAGCAATTTGTATCACGGGATCGTGAGTTGCTTCTGGGAAAATACCTGCAAGAAACTTCAAATTATATTTACATGCAAACAAAAGTATCATTTGCTGAAGATAGAAAATTACCTTCGCGTCCAGCGCATTCAATATCGAAACTGAGAATTCTAAATGGAGCTATTTTTGACCATTCTCCTTCTGGTTCATGAGCTATAAAGGCATCCCATGCAACATCTACTTCCAACTGACATCGTGTAGTCAGCTCTAACATATGTCCGTACTGACCACGTAATTTCCAACTTGTTGGTGGCAGTTCAATCCACGAACAGCCGACCACTGACGTGTCAACCATAAACCTTGTGTAAATATTTTCATTTAAATGTTACAACTTTAATGTAAAATGTTTATATAGCAATAGCATAGTAACAGAATATGTACCTGATATCAAAATCAATGTTACTTTCAAATGCCTTGTAATTATGATCAAATACTGTGTAAATGGTTTCATGTTCTAACAATCTTTTACAAGGTGCAATCAATTTTGGTACTGCCACTGTAATCTTCAAAAATGGCAATTTATCATCTCCAATATATCCATACATTGATTGTTTGTAAACTAGCTCAACTGCCAAAATAGCTTCTTGAATGTTATCTGGATTAGACTTCATATCTTTCTTTACAGCTTGATTTAGAGCTTCCTGTATTAAAAAATAAATATCTTGTATTAATGTAAACTTTGGCACTAGGCACTATATTATATGTCTCTCTCGATTTATTTACTTAAAAATTATTTTTAAAAAAACATACTTTAAATGGATGGCAGTGATTATTTGTAAACTTCTGTGGTGCTGTAACAAATAAATAGGGACAGAAGCCATGAACATGGCAACACACAGAATTTCCTCGTTCTGTAACACCAAACATTCTCATTACAGGTACAGGACCTATTTTACTTCCTGGCATTCCGGGGAGTGGTTTACCTGAACAAATAATTTTATTATTGGTCTCATAAGGTAGCTTTTGTCACATTTATGTATTTGCCAAAGAAAGAAACTGTTTAACATACAAAAAAAGTATATATCTATAACTGAGAATATATCATTACCTATGTAATGATCAATTTCTATCTGCTGAAATGTTAATGTATTAATTTGTGGATTCAAAGGTGGCGGAGGAGCTCTGCTCCATTTTGCTGATGTGTTTTCTTGCTCAGGTCCCTGTGTAAAAGAAAATATATCTACATGCAAAACAATAAAAAATGACACACATCATATCACAAGACAAATAAAACATACTTCTCCAACTACTATTGTCTCATCATCTGGAAAATCATCATCATTTATATAATCCATAACAGCTAGTTCTTCTTCAAACGAACTAGGTTTCTCTGTATCCTCATTTCTGTGATAAAATTAATATAACAATTAGGAAATATAAAGTTTTACAATAGAAGAAAGAGAAAAATGCAGTAATAAATATAATTACTAAAAGTATTTAATGAGAGGACAGATAGAAACCCAATGGAAACAAAGATTTACAGGTTAATGTATTTTGTCTCAAATAACAAGATAATAAATAATTACCTAAATTTAGGTTTCTTTGCCGCAGATGGGACAGAAAACGGTTTTCGACTCATTTTATTCATGTTTTCTTTTATGACAAATTATTATAAAGAGAATTACCAAGTAAAAAAATTCTCAAAGAGATATCGAAACATATACGCGTATGTATACAACTAAGAAAGGCGGGAACCGGAAACAACGATTGAATTGATCTCATGGTACTTATTGGCCGATTTAAGTTGCAGGTTAATAAACTCTGTAAAATCATAATCTCTAGAAAATTTACATGATGAATTTTTAAGAACCGTCTACAATGGAGAGTTGTAGGCCGTAACAGTAAGAAATTGACAAATCACAATTGATTATTCTTCTGTACTTTGTCTGTGATTGGTCAATTTCTTACTATTACGGCCTACAACTCTCCATAGTAGACGGCTCTTTATGTGACTTCAGAAGTACAAAATCTGTGATAAAAGCAAAAAATTGATTGACCACTATGTTATTTTCTAATTAACTTTCAACTAGACACTAGACGATAAATCTAAGTTAAAATACTATCTTTTCGATTGATTGATTCTGTTCCGAGCTGTGTGCGCGCGCACTCTGCCGCGCGCGTCGATACTGTCGATAGTCGATACTGTCGATAGTCGATACTTCGATTCTCGAAACGCTTCGATAAACTCGGATTGGCGGGCAGTAGTGGCGAACGCGCGAAGCAAAGTAGAACTCCGTTCAAATTGTCTTGTATTTTTCGCGATTATTATCATCTCGCGTGCAAATATCAGTAATACGCGTATGTCACAAAGTATCGGGTGTTCGTGGTGATACATAATTAGCGTGGCGCACTCGCTGGTAATGTCAATCGGTAAGTTTTATCGGTGAATTTGTTTTTCACGGCCGTTAGCGTTCCCGCAAAACACAAAATGGCCAACGCGCGACACGGAGAAGAATTACAGTGAACTTGTAATTTTTCGCGATTATTATCATCTCGCGTGCAAATATTGGTAGTACGTGTGTATCGGGCGTTCGGAGTGGATACATAATTAACATCACGCACTCGCTGATAATGCTAATCGTTGAGCATTACGGTGAAATTCTCATCGCGACTGTTCGCGCTTTCGAGAAATGTGCGCTCATTACTACGAGCAGGATCAGATATATATATACAGGTAAGTACATTTTCTTAGATTATTATTTGTTGCAATTGATATGAAATAATATAAAATTATATTACACTATTTCGCGTTTTCACAGGTGTGTGAATACCTCAAGCTGCTGCGCGCGTTGATTCGATTCAAAGTGGCTACTTTGTCGACTGAGGAAAAAGAGAGATAAAAAGGAATAGAATGAAAATCTGCAAAAAAATGTATGGAATGTATTCAGGTATCATCTTCTTTTTACATAATTATTTTTGCTGTCATTTTCTTTTTATAACTTTTAAACTATTAAGTTTATTTTTTCTCAGAAAATTAAGAATTCTTTCTGTTTTACAATTATATTATTTTGATATTTAGAAAAACTTGTATACTTGATAGTAATAAGTTGTTTTTTCTCTTACATTTAACAATAAAAAAAATTTTATTTTTGTTGCAGAATATTGCTGTAGCAGAAGATGATCAACGTTTGGTATGTACGTTTTAAATATTTGGTGATGGTGTGTCGAAATCAGTGCGAACCGCCTGTAGATTTCTATTTTTGATAATTGTGGAACATCGAACTCGGTAATTTTAATATTTTTCGCGGTTTAAGAAACATTGATGCGTACACTAAATAATGTTATATCTTATTAAAACAATATAAATTGTCTCTTAGATATGCAATAATAATTATTCTCGAATCTGAAAATCTACAGTAATAAATAAGAAAACAACATCTGGTTTATAAAAATTATTGTTCTAATATCGTTATAATATGATTTTATATTTTAAATAACAAAATGTACATTAGTTATTTTTATATCGATTGTTCTCGATGTTTCAATCTTCATCAAGGCGAACTTTTTATCTATTCTGTTCGAGTCAAAATCTATTGCGCCACAAATTGCAGAGCAAAATCACAATTATTAGATTATTTAATTTATTATTCAGATTATTATATTAGATTCACGTTGTTTTTATTATAATAGTATTTTATATATTTCTACATTTATACTCTTTTCAAGTTTTTTCACGGTTTTGTTTTATGATATCTATATAACACGCAAAAAAATTAAGTATACATATATCCTATATTTTATAGAGTCACGTAAAATAATTTTTAGACTGAAACGCATGAATGGTGAATTCAAAATTTTTTGTACTCGCGCGCAAAATTAATAAAGAAATTTTCATGTTTTTCTTGTATATGATTTACAAGATATAGTTGTCATTTATTTGAATAAAAGACGTAACAAATCTCACAAAGTTCTATTTCGCGTCTTCCGCGTCGCGAGTGAAAATAAGTGCAACGACATGGACTACGTGGACAATGAAACAACTACGATGGCTCACTTCCTAGAGAGAGACTAGTGCAGAAGAAGAGTCATCGATGGACAACGAAGGGACCGCACAAACATGAGTCATAAAATCAAATTTTAAACAACTTGTTCCTTTTAACTACAGCTCTTTTATTTTTATATTACAAATTAAGTGGAAATTATTTTATAATGATCTAGTTAAATTATATAGTTATAAGAGACTTAAACTTGTTTTTTTTATTTATTTTACTATGAGATTTTATTACTTTTATTAATGTTAAATATATATGTATATACTCAATATAGTTAAAAGGAACAATTTTTATATTGCATGCGTAGTGTCAGCATATATCAATCGCACTGATTTCCGATGATACAAATAGAGACAATCATACATCATAAAATGAATTTCTTTATTTCGTTATCTTTATATGAATGTAGTAATGGTATATATAAATTGTTACTTTCATACTTGATATTTATATTCATTTATTATGTGTATTATGAATTTCTATATATTTACTTTAATCTTTATATTATTTCTGCATTGTCTTGATCTTTCTTAAATTCTTGAATCGTTTTGACCTTTTTTGAATTTTTCAAAGAATTTTTGTCTATGAATTCTTTAACTATGTAAATCTTTTTAACTTAACCCTCAACATTGTAAACATAAAATAAATCCCTTCGAGCGTATATAAATTAATACTCAAATGAACGATTTGACACGATGTTCAATATTATGGCATATTACTAGCAAGGAGAAAAGGGAGTAGGAAAAAAGAGAGAGTTAAACAATAGTGTTTTACAGGCAGATTCCATCCAATTACAGATATATTATATCATAGCAAACATCGTGACTATTTACAATAAATATACAATCGATTAGGTAATATAAATAAAATATATATATAATATCGTATTGTGTTTAGGTTTTGTTTAGGTTTACAGCAACACGTGACAGTAAACAATTAGATCAGCGGCAAAGTAGCGTAATCTATTTAGGATAGTGGTCGTAGTAGCTTTAGCGTGGTTGACTCTTTTCTTTTTCGCTCTCTCGCTTACTCTTTAGTATCTTTCACTCTTTCGTTTTCACTGTCTTTCGCTCTCGCATTCTCTCTATTGTTCTCACATGCTCAACTTCCGTCACGTTTCCGGAAAAATCCAGATTTTTTTCCCTGTTTTCTATTTTTCTGTTTTTTGTTTCGACGTGGAGTCGCACTTTTCGAGTCCAAAATCGCACATTTCGAGAACCAATCGCGCCGCAATAGGTAGATCGACGGTTGCTCCTATAATTGGCCACTTTAGTGGCCTCTCTCTTTCATGTGTGTGTTGATGTGTGTTGTGTGAGTATGTGTATATAATATCTCCTCAAATATATTTATATATCTTTTTTTTTTTTTAAATTTACTTATATATAAATTATTATTTCATTGCGCGGCTCTACCTCGTTCGTTTTTCTTTTATTTCCTTATTATTTAGTATGTGGAATTATCGCGAATTCTGAAACGAGTTTCGCAAAAAACGAGAATTGAAACTTCACGGAAGTTAGAGAGTGAATTTCTTTTTTGCCTAATATTATAGTCGTGAGAGAAGGTCGGGCCACGAGTCGAGTGGGATCCCGCCCGTTTTGTTTTACAACACATATAGCGGCTACCTGGCCCGCTCGTTAATTTGACACGTGATATTTAAAAATAGTCAATTCTTCTTGAACAACGCGCCATTGCTGTGGGTCTAACAGCGGATAATATCAATTAAAGATCAAATAGAAGCATTGTGTAAAAGAGCAGGAGACAGAGTAGGGAGGCGGTAGATGTGAAGATCTGACCGGTGAAGAGAGGGGAATGAGACAGGAAGTGTTTAGATGTCCATGAATGACGAAGAAGCACTCCTTCTTTGCCTGTCTCGAAAAAAGCAGAAGTTGTAAAAAAAAATCTGACGGAAAGATACTTATTAAACTTCAAAAGCAGCGCTTCTTGTTTTTATACACAAAATAATTAACATAATTTTTTATCATCTCTTGTTTTATATTATTCAACCTAAGCACTTTCTAAGTTGATATTTGTAGGACAAAATTCCTTCTTTCTAAGGAGACAAAGTTTTAAAACATGTAAAATTAAATTAAATGAAAATTGCCGCGTTAAGATAAGCGAAGAAGGAATGCAGCTCGGTGGTAGTCGAGCTCGTTCGTGGGGCGAGAGAATGCGATTTACACACGCGTAGATGAATTTGTCGTGTGATTTGGTGAGTTATGTTTCGCGCGTTAGTTTCCCATGTTCGCCTATTCGTCGAGAACGAGAAATGTACAAAAAACGGATCGTCGTTCCGATCCCGTCAATGCGCGCAATTAACGAGAGCTCGTTTTGGGCAGTAGTTCTTGTAACTGTCAGACAATATAACATCTAATTAGAAGCCGTAAAGATGCTGATCTTCCGGACATTCTCTGGACATCTTTGAGACGTCATCTTTAGACGTTTTTTTTTTTTTTTTTTCGAAGACGTCGGCAGTTGGGTGGCAGTACGTCTAAAACACTTGAGTTTAAAATACGTCATGAAGCTTCCCTATATTATATATACACACACATATAATATATAATATATATATTGTATATATATATGTATATATTATGTATATAATATATATTATATATATTATGTATATATTTTTTTTATACACTCAGCGTATAGAAAACGAGTTTTCATCATCTATTCAGACAGCAATGTCGTTGTGCCCCACTAATTTATATCCATAAACGGCACCATCTCTAAAGCCGCGTTACAAAATATCAATGACAAGTACGAACGTGGAGAGCAAACAATACGCGCGATAGATCGATAGATCTGTAATTTTTGTGAGACGGAAAGGGGAGGAAGATTGGCTGATTGGAAGTGGGAGACTAATAACGAAAAGAGCTTCCGGTGCTAAAATGCACATATGCATATATAAGTTTGTGCGCGGACGATTGGCGCACACGTACACATACACACGCGCGTACACACATACACAGGCAAAACGATCGTTACTTGACGGGCAGTTTATATTTTGGATACACATATTTAGTACTCTCTCATTGAGGAAACATAGTTTTATAACGTTTGTTACGTTCATATCCAGCAAGCACGAATATGCGATAATTGTATACGTATTATTTTACCGATAATGCGTGAGTTTTTCTTATCCCTCATTTCTTCTTTCTCCTTCGCTTCCGATCTATATATACGCGGACATTTGGCTCGCACGTACCACGGCACTTTTCTCTCCGCAAAGTCTCCGCGAGTCACCGGAGAATTCACTACCGTCGATCCCGAGCGACTACTTTCTTCCTCGCGTGTACGACACAATGCGATAAAATCTATCATTGATAGACGACGATCGGAAACGCTTATACTACGGATAGGACACATCCACATGTTAAAAATACGTTTAGTTACGCTATTAGTATTTCCAATGTCTCTCATGCACACTCATATTGCAGTCATCAACACAAGCGCTTCTAATATTTTGGCTCTTTTATTCGCTCTCTCTCTTTCTCTCTCTCTCTCTCTCTCTCTCTCTCTCTCTTTCACACATACACATGCGCGCCATACAAGAAAAGCACCACTTTATAGTACAAATTCGTTTTGTCCTTAACTATATGTCTAAAGCCGCGAACGGAATTCAAGCTCGAGATCGCACGATCGTCGCTCCTAAGTCTTTTATTTTTTCCGGGACACCGAGAAATTCCGCCTCTCCTCTAATTCTTCGTTCTCACTCTTCTTCCGTCTCTCTCAACGGAGCCATTCATTGTTGAGGCTTTTTTTACGCGTTTTGGCCACCAAACACTTTTCTTTTTTTTTCTAAAAGTGCGATATTAAAATATCGCATCAAACAAAGCTGGTCGGCCACAAACGCATACCGTATGCGGTATGTTCACATATTCACACTTTCCTCGCATTTATCTTATACCGAAGAAGGTTGCTACGTCAATGTAAAGCTATGTATTGACTAGTTTCTCTCACTCAAGTCGCCCTCAACGATGAATGGCCTCTTTCCTCTCTGATTTTTTCCCCCATTTTTTTCTTCTCTTCTCTTTGCACCTTCGGCTAATATAGTTACTTTGTATCAATACGCGATACCAGAGTCCACCATCACTTAGGCCTCAAGCACAAGCTTGATGAACTTGCTGGCCTTATGTCAGACAAACGTATATAATTAAGATTCCTAGAGTAGAATTCAACCCTGCGAGGCCTGGCAACGAACTTCAGTTGCATCCACATCCGCCACGAATCTTCGGAAAGATCTTTCACAGTGTTTTGATCACGACAATGTTTGTTTGTTTCTTCCCGAGTTTCTCACAATCCCGGGATTAGGTATAAGCATTTTTATTCCCTGGTCTCTTATCTTTCCTCTTCGGCAGTTGCTTGTTTAAGGCTTTCGCGGATCTGTCAATCGCGGATCGGTTGCGCAGCTGGTCCGTGTGGAACGAATACCTCGGTGAAAACCCGTGTTCCTCCGCGTGTACTTGACACACTATATATCTTATATATTTCTCGCGCGCGCGGTATATATATAGATATTTATAATATATATATATATATATATATATAATATAACGTTATATAGTGTTTTTGGCATCTTTGAAATACACAAATAGACTTTGGTATAAAACTTTTTGATAGAGAGTGTTCAGTACGTTCATATATATGTATGTGTATATATATATATTATACGTATATATATGTGTATATATTATACGTATATACACGGATTTATTATATATATGTATATATAATATATATACATACATATATATGCGGCGCGCATATACGGACGCTGCGCTACAGCGGCTCAATTTTTATTCTTCTTTCACTCATTCTTCCTTTTTCATCTTCTTCTTTCTTTTCTCTTTCTTTCTGGCGTCGCTCGAAAAGTTACGATACTGAACAATGTCCTTGCGCAAAGTGGACGATACTGACGTGACTGGTTCCTCGGTGTTGCTCTAGCACATCTTGTCTAACCACCAGAGCTTACAGGACGGCGCGCCTCTCCTCCTGCGTCGCTTCTTGCTCGACTGATCGACGGCCTTTTTCACGAATCTGATGTTGTAGGGATCCTCCGCGAGCTCGGGATACTGTTGCGCATCGTGTATGTATTCGCCCTCGTAGTTTGATACGAAACCTTCCTTCAGTATCTCATCCTGCTCAGCAGCCATCCATTCAATTGATGTTGGAGTGTTCGCCCTGAGCGCCTCATGTTCCCGATGCCAAGCCTTTCTGATCGCGGTCGCTTTTGCGTGATGCAAAAGTCGCTGTTTTTCCTTCTCCGCTGTAGTGCCGTAGCGCAGATTTACCACATAGCTCGCACCATGTATCTTCACATCGAGTAACGAACCGTTGCCGCTGCCGTTCTTGTTCTCGTGGTATGTCGTGTTCACTTGGCCGCCCAGCCGCTTCAGCTGGCCGCGATCTTCGGTCGCTCGCCACGTCTCCTCCTTGACGAAGTAGAAGGCGTCCTGCTGCGCGCTGTGCACGACGAATGTAAACGGCAGGAAGTAAGAGCGATTAAACACGGACGTAAAAACATCTCCATAGATTGCGTTTGCACTCGGCACGCTGGACACTACCGCCTGACCGTCAACAGTCCTCGACACCAGAATACCTTTGCCAAATGGAGGATCGGATGCCGCGCCCAGACGATTAGGTATCAGCTCGCTGGTATCCTTTTTCAGAGCTGACCTTAGTGGCGCGGACAAACTCATTGCATCGCCAGAGTGCCGTTGGGCGATGTACGCAAGAAAACCGGACTGAACGCCGAGATTGCGTGCTTTCTTCTTCTTACCGAATATCGAAGTACCCGGACCGAGAGCTCGCGGCACGAGACTTTCTGGTAATTCGTCCGGAAACAGCTGCGGCGCCAAGCTCTTCAGATCGTACCCGAGATGCGATAGCCATGATATGTGATCTGAAAAATTAAAATACATCAAGTGAATTTTGTGTAAATTTAATATAAATTAATTCAGTGATAATGGTGAATTTACCAGTTGGTTGATTTGGTTTATCCGTGTGCCTGACATCGATCGGGTCGTTTCCATTAAATCTATATAGATGTAAATGCGTCGGCTTGTCTATACGATCCAGGACGTTCTCCCAGAGCGGCGACATCCACTGACCTATCAGTGGATCATATACCTTACCGTTTGGCATGTGAACTAGTGATGTGACCTATAAATTCAATTAAAGATGTCAAATATTCTTCTCTCCTTACCTTTTATTTCACAAACTGTCTCTCTCTCTCTCTCTCTCTCTATCTCTTTCTTATTGTGTAATATGAGTAACACATATTATATATTAAAATTATTAGGCAGATAAAGTTAAAAAAAAAGCGATATGAAAATTCTCATTTTTACCTGATCAAGAAGTCCGCCGCAGAAATCAACCGGTAAATAAAGATATGGATTAGAGTCGTAAACGATATGGCCATAAGGCGATCGCATAATTTCCCTAATGCCTTCTCCGTATTGATTGAAGATCATGATAGGCGTGCCGCATTGATCGGTAGCGATGTAATATTTGTGCCGATACACTTGTGCGTATATAAGATGTCCTCTGTCATCGTACACGAGCGACATCAGTTTGCCGTCGCGCGGACTGTATATCTGACTCACTTCGTGCGGACGTTTCTGATTGTTGTAGAAAAATTGCGTAACGTTGCCGTAATTGTCCTTCCTTGTAGCCAGGCGATCTAGATGATCGTAATAGTAACGCACGTCAAAGCGGCCACGTTTGGTAGCACGCACGAGAAGACCCTTGGCGTTGTAATTGAATCTCTCTTCTCTTGCGTTCTGCACCACCAGACCTCTATTGTCGTACTTGTATAATCCCTCGCCGAACTTGACTATTCGGTCCATACTGTTGTACTCCATTGGAATCGTGTTACCTCGATACGTGAGCGACAGCATGTTGCCATTGTCGTCATACTTGAAACCCCAAGGTTCCTGCGCTTCTACACCGGTCAGTTGACCATCGCAGTCCCATGTGTAGTTCTTTACATTAGTGTACGTATTGACAGCGACATTGCGCGTGTACGTTCTTGTTTGATTGATGCGTCCGCGCGAATCGTGCGTAAATTCCATCCTGAACACTTGCATTCGATGGATCGTTACCGTGACTTGAGTTTCTAAAAATCTGTCGTCCGTGGTGCGCGAGAATAGCGCAGTGCCGTCGAACACGGTTGTCTCGTTCAGCTGTGGTCTTGTCACTTTAAACTGCCCAATTTGCTCCAGCATGCCCGATCTCGGACTGTAAGCCATAGTATGTGGTGGCAGCGTCTGTCCGCCTATTCTACCTTGCACGGCGATTAATCGAAGGTTCGAATCGTATTCGAAAGTGAACTTGGCGTTGCTCAGGCCAGTTTTAGCGCCAAAATCAATGCGCTCCTCCACCAAGAGTCCCGCGCTGTATTGATAATCCCATTTGTATTCTACATCTCTCTCGGAATGTATCACCTCGGATGGCAGTCCGCTCTCGGTGTATCTAATCTCGCTTTTACCGTCGCCGTGAACGATTTCCGCAAGCTGGCCCGATGTGTGATATCTGTAGACGATGCGAGCTCCGTCTCCTGGAAACACGGTCTGCAGCAAATTTCGATCGTGACTGTAATGCTGCAGGTAAGCTCTTGTACTGCCTGGTGGTGTATATGTCACCCTGAGAAAACCGAGAGAAGCCTGACAAGAGAAGGAATGTTTGGTTTGTGACGGTAGAATAATGTGTCGTAATCCGCCGTCATCGTCGTACTGCAGCGAAAATTCCCTCTTGCTGGCGAGCGTAATCTTCGACAGCATATTGAAATCGTTGTAGGTATACTGTTTCGTGCCATCCTTGCTGGTAATTTCTGCTAGTTGTCCGTGTCGATCGTAACCGTATAGCTCGTCGGAAGCGCCCCATTTCCAACTCACGATCCTGTTGTATCGATCGTAAGTGATGCTGAGGTTGTGACCATGTTCGTGCGGTTGCCAGACTAAAGGCTGGCCATTTAGATCAAAGGTCACCGTTAGCAGAGGAGTATCCGCTTTGTCATAGAATGTCTCACGACTGAATGCCTGTTCAAATTCGACGCTTATCACTCGTGTATCATTCACCCAAATCCCTCGGTTGAGCGTTTCCTGACGTTGACTAACATCTCCGATCAGATTGTACGTCGTTGTCATAGTGTTTGTTAGTTCACCGAGAGACATCAATTGATAACTCCACATAGGCAGCATCTCCGCTTCCACTGGCAAAGACGCTTCGAGCAGTGGGTGCTTTGTTGTAGCCGCGCTCAGTAGTCTGCCGCCTCCAGGTAGAAATACTTCCAGACTACTGTTTGTAAACGCGATCGCTTTCAGAAGTTTAGTGCCTGCAAAATTATGAAATTACAAAGCATTTTATTAAATTCACATTATTTAAAGAAATCTCAAAATTCAGAATTAAAAACGTACGTATATGTGTAACTTAATAGATAATAGATAAAATTTATTCATTTGCGCTAATAGATTAACTATTATAGTGAAATAGGTTTGAAAGATTACAAACCATCAGTGATAGTCAGCATTTTTGACTTTTCATTCTTCATCTTATACTCCACGATTCGCTGTTTATCTCCTTTCGATAAGGCTTGAAGCGGAGCCGACACCTTAACTGACAAACCTTCGTCGTCAGACAAGTCTGATGATAACTTCAACTTTTCTCCTGTTGGCAATATTACATCGGTGACACGTCCCAAATTATCGTAATTATATATATATGTTTCGTCTCCCTGAAATACGTGATAAAAAATATTTTGTTTTATATTTATTCACATTATTTAACAAACTAAGTACAAGTCTTTCAACTCACTCCTGATCGACTGGTGAGTAAACCAGTGGAACCATCGTAGCTCAAAGCAATTTCTGCTCTACCGCGTTCGGACAACTTCTCCAGAAATCCGACAGCTGAGATTTTCAGCTCGGACTTGTGATCCTGAGTGTTCTCGATGGAGCTGACCACGCTGCTGTAATCTCGTAAGAACTGGATTTTGTTACCCGCGCTGTCCGTCACCGTGGACAATTTGCCGAAGCTCGTATTCTTGCTGTACAAGAAAGAATAAAGAGGTTTTCCGGACGTCAAGTCTTTCGTGGATATGTGTTGCCCGTAACGATTGAACACGTAGATCTCGTTCGAAGGCGGGAATGGAATACGGAACTCCCCGTTCTCATCGTGGTTCGGAAGATAAGGTTGAAGTGCTAGAATGTGAAGACTACCCTGATCAGCTACATGTAGAACACCGTCTGGCGAAACCGCTAGAGCGGATATGGTAGTGAACTTGGCATTTGACGACAGTAGCGTCTCAGTACTGCTAGTATCGTCTGTACAGGTGCATGCATCCATATCCTTGGTGCTAGGTGTGGTGTTATTGCATTCGCATTGGCCGCGCAGTCTCTCTTGCTGCTGACCAGCAAAGTGCGACATTTTCCCGGAGGAATCAACGACTCTGATAGAATTGACTCGATGAGAATCGCGATCCGCGATGTATAATTCGCCGGTTGGACTAAAACTGACGGCCAACACCGATCCCAACACTTCGTCCGATTTCTTCGAGTTCGTCGGCACCGACGAGTTCAGTTTCAGCAATTCTCCGTTAGCATTGCTATTGCTGTTCGCGCTGCTGGTACAGTGAAGAGGTGTGCCAGCAACTACGCGCACTTTCAGATCGCTGGTGAGCTTCAAAACGAGTCTGTCGTCAATAAAGTGAAGAGATCCGTCCAATGGACTTAAAGTCAGTCCCGTCGGCCATTGTAACTGAGCTTGGTGTGCGGGAATGGCTCCGATGCAAGGTGCAGGTGACCAGTGATTGTGATGACCATGATGTCCTACGAGAGTATGTATGATACCTCGAGGATCGACGGCGCGAATATTAGTGCCATCGGCAATGTACATCGTTTTGTCGGCCGCAATGGCGATTCCTGTAGATCATAAGCTCTCTTAGGATTTTTAAGTTTGTGAATTATAATTTTGATAAACATCATCGTTTATCAGAAAGAAAGATATCGCTCGAAATTGTTTAAATGTCTTTCGAAAGAGCGGGTGGTTAGTCTTTACCTTTAGGATGAGCCAGTTTCGCATTGATGGCCGGACCTTCGTCGCCGCAGTGTCCCTCGTCACCTGGAATACATCTTTCGCCGCTCCCGACAACGGCCTCGATATTGATACTAGGATCGTGAACATCGTCCAACGTGAGAGCCTTCAATATTTGATGCTTCTCCGGATCGCTAATGTACAAGTGCCCGTCAGCCGGAGAGATGCACAGATAATACTGATACGACACTTGAGTCGCGCTGCAAGAGATCCATTTGAAATTTATGTACTTACTTGTTTGTCGCTTCATGTGGTGAAGCAAATTCTGTTATATAACGTATAATTACCTCAGAATCAGAACGGTGTAAACTTTTCCTTCGGGCGTGATTCTGCGAACCAGATTGAAATCTCCGACGTATATGCTGCCGTCGGGTCCGCTGGCGAGGGCCACTGGCGTCAGGAGTTTAGCGTCCTTGGCGAGACCGTCACAGTTCTGACACACCAAGCTCCTTCGCATGCCAGTGCCCATCACCACTTTCACTGTGCGCGGATATTGCTTGAAGTGCAGAGTGGAACCGTCGCCTTTCTGCAGGATTCCCTCGTGAAAGTTATAATGGTGATGGATGTCGAGTCCCCAACCGCCTATATCGGAAATGTCAACGTCGAAACCCTGCAAAGTAGCCGTCTGCGTCTCCCAAATCACGGACGGACAAGTGGAATGCTGGTAACCGATCGAGATTCTCGCTTGCGCCACACCGTACACCTTCTGCTTGTAAACATTTCGCTTGTTCCAGGCGAACGTATGCGTCAGATTCGGATCAGCTTCATACGTTTTCGTGTGAAGCGAGCCTTCGATCTCCACATGCACGTGCACGTGCGTCAGCGATTTCGGAATGAACGATCCAGTCAGTTGCATTCTCACAGTAGAAAGGTAGCCCGCAGCCTGGCTGCTTTGATACATCAAGTGAAGATTCGAGCCCGGAATAGCGATGCTTTCCTGCACAATCTGCAAGCGCAGTGTTCAACGTCCCGTTAAACCGATCACACAGCGCGCTATCATTTTCGTTGTAAATAATATTATTCTGTGTTTCGCGACTCTCGATTTTTCTGCAATTCTTTTTTTTTTGTTTTTGGTATTTCACGCAATGCTTATTCCAAAATCTTATTACGCTTGCCAATCTGAATATTCGTTTTTGCTTGTACAGCAGTAATACGCGGCTTTAGTTTTCGATTTGCAATTTATTACGACAATTTATATTAAACGGAAATACAAAAATATAAAAATTCACCTGACTCTCAGCGAAGACCAAACTTTTTCCGGGTAAACCGCCAACCTTCTCCGGCATCCATGTGCTCACAATGATGGGTCGTAGAGTCTCGTGATCGTGTTCCAAGCACGGACCGTGCTCACTAAAGAGCCCCATCGAAATCCCTGGGAAGCCTATTATATTGTATTCTATAAATGATAAGGAACTCAAAAACGCATATAACACTCATGGGACGGAACAAAGACGTTACACGTTGAAACGAGGTGCTTTGTGACGATGCATGGATAACAATGAAACGTGAGGAGAAAAAAGCGATAATAAATTACGTACATTCTTTTTTAGTATAGAAATTTTTTGCAAAAAAATATGTCCGAGCTCTGTATCCGCTTCTTTTTTGTTATTCTTCCTTTTCCAACGCGCGCAGAGTTCGATTTCAAGTGATCGAGCACGTACGCGCGTTTATCGAAACGTTTGTGGTGTTAATGGGTAACACGATCCGACACGTAACACGATGAGAGATATATGTACTGAACCCCGGCTGATAGAAAACAACAAAAACTGCACTAATACATATCCGTGGTGTCGATGCTTACCGACTGCCGGGCTTGGTGGCTGGTTAGATTTATAAGACTCGCCCTCCTTGCTGAGGATCATTATAACAGGCGGCAGAACGACGATCTGATTCCATGGTACGAAGACGGTTCTCGTGAGCGGTTTGAAGGGACTGCGCTGGAATTGAAGCGTCACGGCGCCTCCGCCATTGACCAGGACGTCGAACCTGATCAGAGTACGTAAATACGTAGTAAATGCATTTTGTACCCCGGTTGCCGATATTACATAAGAATCCGACGTAGACCGATCAATATAGTGCGCTTCCTCTATTCGAGAATCAATGACTGACGAGTCTATCCCTAGAGTTGAAATGCGTGTTTCAAAGGTTTTTTCTATTCGTCTGATTAATTTTCCAAGTTTGATGTTGAGTAATCTCCGTTACTGTACAAATAAAAAATATTAAATATTTCTTTCTTCTTACACTGAACAATATAATTTTAGTCGCGACAAACAGCAAAAGTGTTTCTATTTGTTTATATAACTGTTCTATCTTTTTAGTTTCATAATATCGAAAATTTCGAAGAAAAATCTTTAATCGGCAAGAAATATATCAAATGTGTCATGTCAAATATATTTTAATTATCAAATTGCTACTATTTGTTTGAAGTACCAACAATTTTAAGAACTTCCTTGTGGAATTATTACGATTACGCGTTCTACTTATCGACGCAAACAATAAACGAAGTAAATTTTTATTTTCAATTGTAGTTTGCAATTCTTTCTCTTCAGACTATAATACCGTTCGTTATTTAAGTTTGTGCTCAGATTTAAAAATGCGCTGTGGGATTTAATGAAGTAATATCCATCTTCATATAAAATTACTGGCTTTCTCTCTCTCTCTCTTTCTCTCTAAAAGTTGGAGCGGCAAAACAAAAACTGCAAAACACGTTTTTAACACAGAATTTATAATAACGTCATATTTATTGTATTATTAACGTAGTTATAGATTAACGCTCCTTTTCTCCTTTCTAGAGAACTATTTATAGAATAATCTTCTTAAAGATATACAAGACAGTCATTTTCTGGAGCTAAGTAAAATATGCGTGTAATAAAAAAAGTACTCTTCTGTACTGAAATTAATATGAGTGCTATTTTTACTTCTTTTCTAATAAGTGGTCAGTATTAGTGTGCTGATAACAATTAAAAAAAAAAAAAAAAGCAATATTAAATCAAAATTCACGACGTAAACAAAGAAGTTTATATTAATACGCGATCAGAACATAGTATTGCGCTAAAAAATTGGCTTAAACTGTAACGCGCTGTAACGATATTCTAATTAAAGATGTATCAATGAATAAAATAACACGTGCGCGCTTATTATTTCATATTTATGATAATCACGGATATAGGTGTGGTGTTCTGGTCGTTACATTAATATGAATTACATCGGGGAAGAATATGCCCGAAACAAACTTTCGTAACGAGTAAATTCGATCGATATATATGCGAACACACTTCGACGAGCCGACAGCGCGAACATACCATGAGTGTGAGAGAGAGAGAGAGAGAGAGAGAAAGAGAGAGAGAGAGAGAGCCATGGACATGAAGCGTGATATATACGGAGGTTTGCACGGAGTAATTAGTAAGCTTTCGACATCATTAGCTCGGGCTTTGATGTGGTCTGGTATCCCAACTCCTCCGCTTTCCTGTTTCAGAATTATTCTCGCCAGAATTACTGTATATACCCTGAATATAGTCGTTCTCTCCTACACCACCATCTGCCCTTCCCTTTTCATTACAATGCAGCCTTGATACTATCGCGCAGGACGTCCAGCTTTGCCACGTACATGTCGTGCCCATCATGTGCAAATGCTAATGTGACGAAGACGACAAGAACGACGACGACGACGACGACGACGACGACGACGACGACGCGTATATGCGTTTCTACATTGTAACGACGGATGTAATGACGGACGTAATTCTCTCTCTTTTTCTTTCTTTCTCTCTTTCTCTTTTTTTCTCTATCATTAATAATACATCATCTAGATAGCTCACAATCTCCACTTATTTTACGCACAAACTCATATACTCAAGAATAATTAGCAAATAACAAATGAGAAATTGAAATATGTTCTTGAATATTCTCAAAGTGCAATATAGTGTAATGCGTATATAATATAATCTGGATTATATACACGTGCGTGGTAAACGTCATTTACGTTATGGATGTCCGTCATAATCGTGTAAATCCCTCTTTCAAAATAATATTATATCGCGGTAATAACCACCATCAGCTTAAAATATGAACTGCATAATTGCGTCTATACGCGCTTATTAGTAAATTATTAATACAATTTATTTTATCCCCATACGTATTATTTGTAATAGAAAACTCGGAGAAAAGAATGCGCACTTTTATGTGCAATAATCACTGTCATATATGGATTTTTAGACTTACTCTTCAGTAACATCAACTCAGGGGGGCACCATCTTACGGTTTATAATTTATATGAATAGATAAATTCCTTTAATTATTTATAATATCAAACACGCACTACAATAATCGACTTTCGTTTTTCATATAATACTTCAACAACGTTATTAATAATGATTTAATTAAATATAATGATATTTAAAACGCACACTTTCAGACTATAATGAACGAACTATAATGAATGAAGCGTTCACACAAAGTCAATTTTTTGCCACTGATATCTTTGATAATTAAAAATCTGTTTTTCTTACATTATTTCTATTATTATATCTCATTATAAGAGACAACGTATACATGTACGTAAAAGTTATAAAATTGTTATATAGCAATTGCTATATAGCTTGGTAACTTGAATGCATGGCAAATCTGTAAAGGAACACCCAAATTCGAACGGTCAAGTAAACTGCGAGTTGAATTATTGATCCTTACCATCCGTCGGCTCTGGTCAAGGTGAATCCAAAGCGCGAATCTCTGTCCACAGATACTCTGATGCCTACTATTCCGAGTCCTTGTTCGGTAACAACCTGGCCTCGCATCACCGCAACTCGACTGTTACAAATTATAGATATATTGAGGTCCACCGAAGCAGGATTGTTTCGTCGACCCATTAATCCGCGCAATGCTGATTTAAAACCAAGCATTCTCAACATTTACATTTTACTGTCTACGATTGGAATGCAATTTTGATTAGCGTGCGCGCTAAAGCGAAACAATACGTTCAGCTTAATAAACAAAATCATAATTTTGAGATGAAAGGTTCTGCTCTATACAGAGTGCTGTAATTAATTTAATAATTCTCATACAAAATTTCATATAAAGTCTCAGTCAGAGATAGTTACAAATTCACAATTAATTCTTATGCAAAACTTTAAAGTTTTATAGATAGATTATTTAAGGCAATTTAAGTTTCTTTGAGTAACTATAACACTTTTATCTCCGTAAGATATATAAGCTTTTGAATAAAGTAACGCGATCTAATTTTCAGTAATCCTTGCCGTGAGAACGGCGAGACACCGGTATAGATATAGTATATACTTTGGGCGCTCTCCTAATTAACCGGCAAAGCGATCATACTTCTGAATCCGTGAGCGACTAGTGTCTTTATATACGGGCGTGGACGCGGGCAATCGATTTCGCCTGTTAAATCAGCTTCCGCGGTCAACGGTTCAATGCGATCCAATATTCTCACTTCGCTGCCAATACAATCCGCAACTCCATTCGGCCGACATTCGACGGCCGCGTTGCCATGTACAAGGGAAGCTAATGCCTCTGGCTGAATCGAGGAGCGCGATACAAATTGATTTTACAAATAGAACAATGCCGTATTGGCGAGGGGTGGCGGAACGAGAGAAGAGAGGGAAGGTGCTAGAGGACGAGCGGCGCAGCGACTGGGGCGCTGAGGAGGGAGGAGGAGCAGAACACGCGCAGTGCGTCGACGATGCATTGTGCTCGCGAAAATCAGCATTCGCGGTACTGGCAATGGCAGCGAGGCGGGAACATTCTTCTCTCGAACACTAACTTTTGGATTTTTAGAGACCAGAAAAAAAGAGAAAAAAAACAGATAAAGAAAAGACATGATACTTCGTCCCGAGGCAAATGGACGAAAGTGAGGAACGGGGGAAGAGAGACGGGAACAATTGTAGGAGAATCATTTCATTATGAGAGTAAAAGACATGCAATTATGTTATATAGATACGTAGTAGGCGTGAGATATGTAATATATATGTAATACGCGTATTACATATATGTATATATATAAAACTTTTGTGGAAGAAATGTGTATACGAGGAAACGAGGAGAGTAGGATTTTTGCGCAAGAGAATTTGAGATGTTTTAAGCTGAATATTTTAAAGCAATTTGTGTATAGTGCTGAATATAATAAGATCGATATATATATATAGGTAGAGAGATATCATATCTATATATAATGTGTATAGAACTATATGCGACGGATCGCATATATAGTTTGTTACATCGCATTTAGACCGCTCGACAAATATGTAACGTCAGGCACTTGTCGCGCGCGACGAGTCGATGGTTTCGTGCTCGTGTAACAAACTATATATTTATTTTTATGCATTTAGTGTGTGTGTGTGTATATATATATATATATATATATATATATATATACATATATATATATATATATGTATTTATCGGTTTCTAAGGGATTGCGTATGGGGGCATATTTGTCTTGGAGGATCACGCATGTCCCCAACGCTGCAAGTGACATCGATGATGATGTCGTCCAAGATATAGGACCATTGACCATTTCCTGTTGTGATTATCAAGCTCGCAAGTAGTAGTCGTATCGCATGCTCAGAGATCGAAACCGGAATAATCTCGACGCGGTGAAGGCTTATCGTTAGCCAAAAGTGCGACAAAACACTTTTAATTTATGTGCAAAATTTTAAAGCACCAACGTTAGTACGCGTCTTAATACATTGAGAGAATAATTATTTGTGATTAAAGAGTAATGAAAGAAACAATGACAGAAATAGTAAATCCTTTTATAAATTTGTATGAAGCTTTAATTCAAGCACAGCTTTATTTAAAAACAGTTGAACTAGATTGGTAATATAAGTTAATAGTAATTAAAGATGTTTCAATGAGAGATACACTTCTTTGATTTTAAATCTTCATTTTTATAGAAAAAATATATATAAATTATTACATAAATAGAAATTTTTTAAATAGTGATAATAATACATAAGCCAATGAACAAATATATTTCAATAAGATATATTTCTTCCGATGATCGTTAGTTTTACGAAAAACAATTACGGGGTATATATATTTAAAAAATAATTTGTAATTCTTATTAGAAAGATATGGAATATATCATTGTTTCTCTCTCAATAGAGAAAGCTCGTCTGTCGTACTTGCGCGTATCTGAAATACGAGAAAATTTTATTTTTTACTGATCACCTTTTCATTACAATTACGAATGCAGATACAATTCTTTCGTGTATATATGCGAAAAGTCGAAATGTACAGTCACAGCGTAAGTATACCAGTTTCGATCGCTGATCGTGCCATAGTTTTTTTTTTGGTTTTTTTTCGGTGACTCGAGGATCAAATTGGGGCGGGCGCTGATCCTCCAAGTGCGAGCACAGCAAGGTGGCAGGCACAGTCGTCACTACTGTACGTCCAAACCCATAGTAAGTAGTAAAACAGAAAAACAAAAACGGATGATCCTCGAAATGCAGACCGAGATTCCTATAAAGTCAATCGTAGTGAACCTATATGTATAACGGTAAAACGAAAGAAGAGAACACACGCACCTAACGTCGTTGTAATCTAGCGTTACTCTTTCTTTTCTTTTACCAGCGGATTTTACAAAGTGAATATAATTGTCGACGATATTACTCTCTCTTTTTTCGTTCTTTTTTAATTTCTTTTTTTTTTCGTATCTTTACTCCTCCGTCACTTTTTCCGTCGTTCTCGCGCGAAGACGAGAAGACGTTATTCCCGGGAAAAAGATCAAGATAAGAAAGATCTCGCGAATTTTCAGTCAAAACATATTACAAAAACATGCTTCTTCGTATCGTCAGCATGTATTCCCGCGTCAGAGAAAGAAGCATCGTTAATAAATAGAACAGGAATCACGGAGCAGAGAGGGGCTTAGAACGGGGATAAATTCCGATCTTTTCGGTGGGTTTCAATTTCCTTTCGGATATGTCGGATATAAAGACAGACACAGGGTTGTTTGGGTGATCGGGTCATTGGCACATTTTAGACAGGTGATAATAGACGCAGACAAGGGACAAGGAGGGATGGTCTTTTGGAGTCCTTTCATCTCCAACTGTACGGTGCCGATTAGCAAATACTTGCCGATCCGTCGATAGAACAGAAAGTACATGATATGTATATACCTGTTGAGTTATTATTATAATATCTCGTGTTCGTATCGTATAAATATGACAGAAAAAGGAATAAATATAAAAGGAACAAAACACAAAGTCGTTCACGCAAAAGGCGCGCAATAAGGTCAGCGTTCGTGTAAAAATGCTAGGACGTTCACTATAGACAAGTTCGACAAGGTACATAAAGTGCAAGCTTTGGCAAACACAAACAACACAAGACCAAGGTTGGTATAAGTACGTACGACTCGTAACATACTATTATGTATATCAGTCATGTGGCTAACGCATCTAAGGGACAAGAAGACAAGACATAACAGAAAGGGGAGACAACAATCTGACGACATATCACAGATAACACAGAGACGATTCGTATGGATGACTTTACTTGTATACGTGAAGAGAGTTTTTTGCCCATAGACCAACTGCTCGGATGATACGTACATGTTTATAAGTGAAAGACAAAATATTAAAGTAAACAACGATATTCTTTACGCGTTTCATTGTAAAAAAACAATTCGTAGAATCTTCAGGGTTAGATCTTGATTAGATTTTATAACGTACGTCTCTTGTAAAATTAACTTGAATGTTTATCTATATTTCACGCAATGTAAATAACTATATATGTACACGAGAGAGTGTTCCTCTCAAAGAGAATTTCGAAAAAAGTAGGTTACTGAATATTTGTTGTAAATTCGATATCGATCCCAAGCAGATTGTTTCTCGTTTGTGTGTTTTTTCGAAAGTCTATGGCGGTTTTGTTTGCGAAAAAGAGAACATATACATTCGACTATTTTTATAAAAATATGGACCGAAACACATTCGATGAGAGAGACACGCGCGGCGTTACCTAAACCGGGTATAAACCCCGCTGCAAAAATCGTCGACGGCTCATCTTTCCTGTACGTATCAACGCGAGTGTAGCCATGAGACGCGAAAGTGAATAAAGACAGATAGGTAAAGACAGGTAGAGATATAGAGGCTGAGAAAGAGAGCGGACAAAGTGAACGTAGTCGGATGAGAGAAACAAGAGACAAATAAGCGAAGTGTGATCAAACTGGCGAAACGCAAATAGTCGTATAATGAGAAATGATAACAGGCTGTTATGAGCGGCATAAAAATAGAAAAGATAGACAGAAAGAGAGACAGCGAGAAAGAGAAACAGAAAGAAAGAGAGACAGAAAAAGAAAAAAAAGAGAGAGAGAGAGAGAGAGAGAGAGAGAGAGAGAGAGAGAAAAAGACAAAGAGATAGAGAGAACAAAACGTAGGAAAATAAATGACAATAGGCAGGCTAAAAAAAGGATTTTGATATACAAGATACATATGTATTACACATTAATGGGTCATACGAAAGACATGTAAGATGAATGTACGAGCGAAACGAGCAATAGATGATACTTTATTCTTTTTGTGTTTTTTTTTTTTTTTTGGATTAATGAACGATTAGCGAGATAGCTTGAGCTGCAACTTACCGCGGTGTAAAGGAACTCCAGAACGTACTACGTGTGGGAAAAACCAACGAGAAGAAAGGGCGTTACCACGGTCACAGAACCCGCGTTTGCGGGCAAAAAACGAATGCGCGTGCGCAACATTGCGCGAGCAATCGTCTCGCGAGTGTAATTGCGTCTCAATTCGAATGTGTAATCTTTTCTTTAATCTTGCGAATGTCGCGTGCGAATTTTTCCGCGTGGACTTAGACGCGCCGATTACACGGGGACCGCGGACCGGCTTTTCCATCTCTCTTTTCCGGTTCCGTTCCGGTACCATTTCTGAATGGAGACCGACACGGAGACCTCGTGAGAAAGTGCTCCTCGCAATGTTCCGCACGCCATTACAGAAACAATAGACGTAGACACACACACTAATCAAGCGTACCCATCATACACGCGATTCTTCCAGTCACGCAACATAAACGCAATCACTCTCGGACTCATTCAACATAGAGTGGTAATACAGTGTGACAGACACAAGTTGGAAACTACGCAACGCACACACATATGTAATATATATAAATGATACATAGGGCCCGGAAAACTGGCCGTATGTTAATAGCGCGGTGATGTGTTGGTGCTCCGTGATACGCCGTTTTTGACACGGCGTGTCATGGCGCATCTCGACTTCCTGACCGAGGGAAACTCTTTATCAATTGGTTTATAACCGGGCTCGGAAGGATCGCTCGGTAACTGACAACGAAGAGAGATTCCGTCGATCTAGGCCCTACACTGAGGGACGATCCTTGAATATTGATTACTTCTGTCCGAGCAACTGTCAATGCTGTGAATATATACTGTAATAAATTTTCACAAATGCTTGTATATATCCACGAGCATCTTTCTCGTTTAGAAAAATGCGCTCTGAAAGCTATGACACACAAATAGCGAATATAAATATAAATATAAAATTATTAAAATAATTTACGTAAAACGTAATTTGAAGAATAATCAAAATTACAATAAAATAATAAGATTTACATCAAGTACATATCTGAAACTATTTTACTGTTAGACAAGTTGAAATAAAATTTCTAACTGTATACTGGATACAAGAGAATTAACTATTGTGCGCATTATTCTGAGTTTTGAACAGAAAAATCTTTTTGAAAAGAAAAAAGTGTATGTGTGGGTAAGTGTGTGTACGTGTGTGTGTGTTTATGCGAAAAATGGCCGCTCTACTTACTCGGACCTAGTATTCGATATTCCAGCATTACGAGAGACGAACGGACAGTGGACAAGAAACAGTATTCTAGATGTTCGATTTCTAGAACTCTCTCTTCAACGACTACATGGACCTTATTATACGCGCCGTACACAAAGTTTTTGTCGGGCAAAAGAAGAAGACGGTACGAGAAATTTCAAACTTGTGTCTACCATATCTAGAAATACTTTTACGAGTGGGCGAGTCACCGGCGATTGTACTCTTTGACATCGATAACCTTCTCTAGCACGGAGACTTTCACAGATAATTGCAAATTTCTCCCTGGTTAAGAGACTTTTGATCTTGCCTGTCTGACTCAACCATTCGTATGCTTTATCTATGAACGTTTTTTTTCTCGCAATCGCTTAATGAATGGCCAGATTATTGGTGTTTGGAAAGCACAATTTTGAAAATAAAAAATATATATATATATCTCTGTCCTTTTTCTTATGTTAAGATAAATATTGCGCGCAGGCTGAATATAACTGTTATACTTTATAACGATAACGAACAGTGCCTAAAATACATTTAACGCGTGTTTGAAATGAACCAATAAGATAATACAAAAGCAAAGTCTCTAAGCATATTTTCGTTATGCAGACTTTCGTCGTTTCAGTCCGTAGGCAGAACAGAGCCTTTTTTTCGGTCTTCGGCTGTGGGGTGATTGGTAAATCTGGTGATGGTAAAGGGTTATACACACAGAGGAGAAACACTAGACAAAATACACGATTCCTCCGAAGTGCCTACGCGGTCTCTTCCAGTTGAGCCGCATACACATATCGATAATCGCTTCTCCAATCAAACAAGAAAAATGTACATATATATGTACATACATACGCGCATGCGCGTAATGTGTATGTGTGTCAGAAAAAATAAACTTTTATATTTAATTAAATTACATTTGATATATTTTTTATACATGTTTTTTTTTAGATATTGTAATATAAAATGTTGTTAACTATTGCATTGTGGATAAAGACGATTTATTGAAGAAACTATGTATACTATTTACTATATATATATTACTATGTATATATTACTTTATGTAAATTCTATCTAATTAACAAAGATATATTAAAATTGCTAAAAAAAATTACTAAATAATTTTATATTTTCAAACTATCACATACGTAAAGATTAAGATAAATGTATAATATACACATTTCTTATGATCAGAAAGAAATATTCGTTAATAATTACATTTTAAAATTACAATTGGAATATATATTTTTGTAACATATATATATATATATTTATATATATATATACATACATACATACAAATACTATATAAGACGTGATTTTAGATAGTAGAAAATCTTTTTAACAATAAGTTTGAAATGATTATCGATAATTGGCATGTTCGGAGGAGGAAAAAGGGTGAAACACTAGGAAAAGGATAGTTAGAGGGGTAGTAGGGTTGTCACCCACCGGGGGCTCTCTTGTTATTTCACCTGTTACGGATGTGGATTTATGACGATTCAATCGAATTTTCAAAGCGTTCAATGGTTGCTCACGATGGGGGAAGAAACATCACTTTAATAAATAATTTAATTACACTATCTTCACTGTAACGAAAAAAAATATTTACAAACGTGTGATGCGTGAACCAATATTTCGACACCGTAATATGTTTAATGAACAAAATAATTATTGCAATGTCTACTGTGCTTCTTTTGTGGTCATACAAAATAACGATATCAAATAAAATTATAATAATTGTCGAATATATTAGTTTTTAATTTTGTTTTAGCCAATTATTAATTAATTTTTGTTTCAAACAGTGACAAATTTAATATTAGTTTGTGTTATTCATGTGTTTATTATATATATACATAAATAAACGTACATATCTGATAAAAATATGTGAAATTTATTTTAGAAACAATATATTTTTTAATAAAAACTGAAAAACATATATTTTAATTAACGTAACGAGTAACATCCTTCTCTACGTGAAATTATTGCTCATTCTGCATACGTTCAAAGATCACACAAAAGAAGAATTAAATAATTACAAAGAAACTAATATATGCCCCATCGTAAACTTTTACCACATATTAAAACGCGCGAGTTACGTTATGTTCATAACTCTCAATAACCATTGTGCAGCGTAACGCGACAAGTATATTTTCGTATATTAAAAATCCGTCAGGCCTGTAAATTATACTTTTGACATTAAAATAATGCTTTTTAGGAAATTCACTGCACATTTTGTAGACAAATTCGCGGTCTATCGTTTTGTCACAAAAGGAATGAAAGTGTTCAAACAAACACGATGATACGCGTGATTCAGACTAACGAGAAAAATGAGAAAAGTAATGCGCATGAAAGTCGTAAAAAGGTTAAACTATGACACGCAGCTATGCTATTTTATTTTCATTAAATGTTATATGTGTGTACAACGTTCGCGATCGACCGAGTCATCGCCGTTTAACGCATGTTCCTCAAACAATATAATTTGATGTCAAGATTAAATTTTTTCAAAAACTTTGCAAAAAATATATAATCTGAAAAATTTCAAAAAACGAAAAAAAAAACGGCCGGTTCCCGGTCGTTCGAACGTTAATCTCACTTATATTATGAAAGTAAGGAACTAGGCAAATTCTAATTTCGAATTTTAATCCGTCTGAGTGGAAATGATCGATCTTACCTTTCCGTGTACTCATCCATGTGAGCGTAACTCTGTACGCTGTTCTCCTCAACGAGGAACTTGACTCGCTGATAGAAGGACGCCGTAACGCTGGGCGGTTGTTTTCGGAGAAGAACGTCCACGGGATTATTACTAGCGAGGCACATGATGTGCTCTGAACAAGCGTCGTGCGAGCAGCACTCGCTATCAGAACAGTCCAACATGCCATCTGAGAAAAGCAATCTGTTAGATATTCATTCGAGCACATCTTGCTGTTTAAGTGAATTTTATTTTTTTCCGACCAAGTCCTGTTTTCTAAATGTTTATACTTAAATATTGAGAGCTTGATTAAAAGAATTAAATAGAAGAAAAACTTCAAGTTGTATAATTTTGTTCACGTTGATATTGTAATTTTCTTTCTAGTTTGTTGCCACTGCTTTTTTCTTATGTGCGCGTGTGCGTTAAATCGCAATATCACTATATATTATTTTTATTATTCCCTCAAAATTTATTTTTTTTCTTTTAAAATTCAATAGATCTCGGTGTTTTTTTAAATTAAAAGCTCACCTTCGTCATTGTCAACGTAATCATTACATTCTAATTCGAGTCGTATGCTGCAATCTCTACCAGCCCATCCGGTCGAGCATTCGCAGCTGTATTCGCCGTCCTGTAATGCGCAGAGACCGTGGCGACTGCATCCATTTTCACATCCGGCTATTTAAAAAAGAAAACACACTAGATCTAACAACTGTAGTCGATAATCTCAATTATTTTTGGATAATATAACATTGTGCGTTTAATATATATATATATATATATATATATATATATATATATTGTATATATGTATATAACATGTATATATTGTGTGTGTATAATAGAGCAAAGTAAAGCACTGTTACTTAACGTACGTAATGTGCAATGTCTTCCGTTCCATCCTTGACTGCACACGCAGGTTCCGTTCTTGCACTGACCATGCTCGGCACAACGCGGATCGCACGGTTTTTGATCGCATTTCGTTCCGGTCCAATCGTCGTGACATCTGCAAATAAATTATCTCATATTTCACATTACGTTTATAAACATTTATCGTGTGCTCGTTTTTATGACAATCAAGATAAAAAGAAAACGCTGCGACAACGATTTGATTTCGTTATATTAATGACGGGCCGGATCTTTCTTTTAAAAAAAATTACACGTAAATACGTTTTTAACGAGATTTGTTAAATGAGAATATCGCCGAATGTAATATCATTTCTCGCCGTTTATACTGGCCGCAATAAAAAATGCGAGTTTGAACCGAGTTTTGAAGTTGTTCCGTGCGAAACTTTTTGCACTTAGAGCCTCTTTTACGCCAACTCTCGGAGATGTCACGAGAGGGGGTGGATGAGCGTCAGCTTTAGAATATGAGAAAGGAGATCCTCTCCCGCGTCCTTGATTCTGACAAAGGAAAGTAGGAAAGGGACGAGAGGACGGTCCTTCGAGTTGTGATAAGTTGGCGCCTCATAAGACAGAGGCGCCTTTTTCTCGCAATTTTTCACCTTTTTAGCTTCAACTTTTGTGCCCGTGATCCTGCGAGCAATTTACTCATTTTTAGGCCATTCTTCGCCCGTATCCCACAATATTTCACCGTCTCGACAAAACGTTTCTCTCTCTCTCTCTCTCTCTCTCTCTCTCTCTCTCTCTCCCTCTCTCTCTTTCCACTTTAGTATAAATTACTATAAATGTTCGCGACATGCTTTCCTCATGCATTAGTTATTTAAAACTTTATGATTTTTCTGTTCTCAGTTCAACGTTATCTATTCGCTTAAAAAAATTGCTAAAAGTTTGCACATTATGCTATATAAAATACTGTGCGGTAAATAATTGCCATGTTTGAACGATTTTGCAAATCTTTCTCGTAGACTAATATAAAATAATGATCTCGTACACGAAGTGGGAATATCACGCGACGACGAAGAAAAAAGAGAGAAAAAAAGAAAGAGAAAAATTACGAGGAATCCCTTCAGTCTGAGAAAAACAATCGAGAGTGGAAATGGATGTCACTTTCTCTTGATCTCAATCGCCCGCTGTCGAAAGAGCGTCGGCTAACCCAATTCCGTAATCTCGGTCGCACTATCCATGAAGGATCCATAAAAGAATAAGCCAATATATAAGATATGATATATATATATATATATATATATATATACTGACTTGCAGCGACCCTGCTCGCAGGATCCATGAAGCCCGCAGTCCAGACCGCAGCTTGGTTGCGAGCAATCGACCCCGGTCCAGTGCTCCTCGCAAACACAGGCCGCGGATTCGAGGTCGTACGTGCCGTGATCGGAACAGCCTGGCAGACACTGGTACACCTGCTGGTCGACCTGATTACACCTCTCGCCTTGCCAGCCGGCCTTGCAATAGCATTTGCCAGAGACACAGGCGCCATGACCGCTACAGTTCGGATCGGGACAGTCGGCTGAAAGTTGAGAAAAAAAGCAAATTGGTCGATTCGAGACAATCGCCCGGTTTTACCGAGGGCATCCCTTCAGTTATCAAGCTCTTCATTCATCCGCCCGTCACGCCTGCCCGCTGCTGATTGCGTCCATGGCGTGGACGAATGGACCAACTTTTTAAATTATAGCATCGGAACAATTGCATTACTCCCGCGGATCTCACTCCTGCCCCGGGGAAATTATGAAACTTAATTCCGGAGCGTCCTCGGCGCGCGACGGCGCGCTCATGCTCCGTGTTATATGTATATATATATATATATATATATATATATATATGCGAGAGATGAGAGAAATTCCTGGTGGATTCTTCTTGCATTATGTATGCACGACGTTCATCAAATGGGATCATAGATTTGTTCGTTTTCATTAGAAGCAAACCCGGAATATACACGCGCTCGTTTGCGTTGTCACGAGAAGAGAAAGTGACGATATTAAGATACAACACACTATAATATCAATTTGTACGCGATATACGTGATTTATGCAAAACTGTTCGCAATAAGCAAAAATCAAATATTGTTTTAAAACTTACACATCATAAATCTTAAAAGTAAACGATGAAAATCTCAGTATCTCGATTCGCGGAGAGTTCGAATGATTCTTTACGGATTTAGCCAGTTAGTTCTCATTTGCCATCGTGTCGCGACTGATGCAAATTTATTCCGTTCCTCGAATTTATCGTTCCTACGATTGGAGCTGACATATTCCAGTGACGTGGAACTAATATCGTTTTCGTCTGCGTTTAGGAAAAAGCGACGGGCGAACGTATCTCTAACGAGGACCGTGAGAATGTCAGAGACGAAGCGTCTCGTTCCCGGCGAATAATCTCGTCATTTATATCGTACGTCATTCGGGCCCCCGGAAGTTTCCCGAGTGTGAAATTATAACGTTATCGAATGCGGCGGCGGCGCGCACACAGTGCACACACGTTTGGTGCGTTGTGTATTATTCAAATTCCCGCGAAACAATATGAAACTAATTGTCGCGCCGAATTGGCACGGCTTGACCCATATGTAAATTTGGAGAACTCCGCGTGCATTAATTATAGATTGTACATAGCCCGGCTGTGTTCTCTCCACCGACGGGGGCTCTGCATTACTAATATCTTGAATCTCCTCGGATAGAAAGCCGGGGACGCTTGAATTATGGGAAAATTAATGGTACCGTGACAAACATGAGGAAATAACGCTCCGGGGTAGAAATAGATGTTCGAGGTAAATGTTCCCGCGCCGGCAACTTCCGCTAAGTTGTTTTTAAAGCTGAAAGACGCGCCATGACGCGCGCGTTCCGCGACATCGCAAATCGCAATTCCCAATATTTTTCAAACAATTTTTCGATGAGAGATAAAATCTGTTATCGTTATTATTCCTCCAAATTCAGAACAAATACGAGGTGTTGTTGAAGTTTTTTATTACATAATCCAAAACGTAATTTTAACATGTTGACTTTACAATTAGATAACTTCGTTTGCAACGCTGTTTTTGTATCAACATGTTATTTTAATATGTTAACTAAATTATATTTTGTTTTTCTTCAAAAACTCATAATAAAATTTTAGGTTTTCCTCTCCAAAAAAATCAATTCGAGTTAATTCATATACGAATATAGTCAACATGTTAAAGTGCGTTTTGTCAGATCGATCGATTTTTCTTTGCTACAAGTGTCGTTGACTTACGTTCGTCGCAGAAAATGCCCTTCCAACCCGGATTACAGACGCACGATCCTCTCACGCACTGACCGTGCTGATTGCAATCAGGAACTTGGCAATCACCTAACGGTATGTCACATTCGGCGCCTTTCCAGCCCTCCTCGCAATGACACATACCGCCGCCGTATTGTCCGTGAGAGGAACACAAAACCGGGCACACGCTTTTGCTGCAATCAGCACCCTGAAATCACAACGAGATATCGCATTCTACAGGTTTCCACTTGATATATTAGACAATATGTTTACGAGGATTGATGAGAAACCAAGAAAGCGCACCTGATATCCGTCTATACAGTCGCATTTGCCAATGTAGCACGATCCACGACCGGAACAATCGTTTGGACACGTTGTGGAAACTCCCTCGGCTTCCGTCACGACCAATGTAACCTTGTAAGGCTGCAGCTCGTCGTTATATACGGACAAAAACCAGTCACCGGTGTCGAAATATTGCAACAGACTGACGTTGACCATCAGCGGTTCCACGATGTCTCTCTTGACGAGCACGTGTTGATAGGTGGCCGGCTGCGCCATATTTCCCGTATAAACGTCCTGTAAATTGCTGGACTTCATAAAACTCACAGCCTCCGCCGTGACGTCTCTCTTTAGTCTGTGCACCACCCTGCCGCCCTTAACGAACTCCACGAAGTCGTACTGCGTGACGCTGGGCGCGACGTTCCGCCTGCCGTACACGGCAAAGTTTGCGCCCCACGGCAGGGTCAGGTTCAGCCTAATGAATGCCGGTTGCTTGTTACGAAACTCGGTGTTCCAAAAGTGGTACGGTTGAATGACAGCGGAATGCGCGACGTTGTAGGCCTGCAACTCGAGAACGGCCGGCCATTGTTGCGCCGATTGCTGAATCTGCGGGTCGCTTTGCTGATCACCGGCGCTATCGGCGGCGCTCGAATGCTCCGCTGTGCTTGTTGGCAGTGATTCTGAGCAAATGTATAAATTGTCTAATAACTTAGAGATATAAATTAGGTCGAAAAAAAATTACAAGAAAATTTTTCTATCTTTACATCGCGCGTGCTAAATTATCTTGTAGGCAAAACCGGCAAACACTTGAAAGGAATTGCAGATATACGTGTATTATTTGAAAAACAAATATAAATTATATGACTTCGTACATATGTTTAAAAATGTACACATGTAAAACCAAGTCACAAAATTACATGTTTTTTAATTGTCAATATTACTCGGCAGTTTTTCTTTCTTTATCGCGCGCTCCGCTCCAAATCCGTCAAGTTTTCTGCGTCTCTTCATAACAAGCGCAAATAACTCAATTATTCAATTATCCTTCCGAATTGATGCGGATCGCATCGTGTAACATCTTTACGGCAAATGACATTTGGATGCGCGACGATATAGTCCTTACTAAAGGCATTATATCGATGAAATGTTCATCCAGTCGCGCTTCCCAAAAGCAATTACCGTATGACGCTGTACGCGAGAGTATTTACATCATGCAGAGTAGATGCAAATTAATACCGCTCGATATTTACCTTCTGTGGGTATCTGCGTGGATATCGAGTCGTGAATGTGTGCGTTTTCATGAGTGACAGTCTTGATATCTTGAACCAGAATGCAGTTAGTACTGTCTACCTGGCGCATAGAACTCACTGCTGAAAGGTAAACAGAACATCCACGTTAAGATAAAAATCTTATCTTTGTGACCGTGATATTACAATCTATAGTCTTTCTATAATTTACGTAACATTTATTATATAACAAAAAAAATATATAAACATTTATCATTAATTATTACATATGTCATACTATTATTGTGTTGTTGCATTATTAGTCGAGAATTTAACATTATCACACATGCATAGTATTTATAAATTTTTTTAAATTTGTGTATTTTACTGTAATATAATATTAAGAAATAGTTAAATTACACACGGATAATTAAACTTATTTATACGTTTCTTTGTTCAACATATTACACGTGACGTGTCTATTTTCTCAGAGATTCTTTCGATCAATGGTAACGCCAGTCGACTATTATTTGACGGCTTTAAAAGATAAGATGGAGAAAAAAGAAAGAAATCTCCATAGAGGCCTTACATACAATTCCGCGTAGAGATAAATGTTATGTTTATAATGTACGGCCGGTATTCTCTGCACAAAATAGCATCGCCATGCGACGCTTTTATGACGTCAGGAATCAAGAACGGCTTTAGCTTGAATGTCCGTGAGCGCAGCCTAATGGGGTTCATAAATTCGAACAATCGCTTTCGAATTACGATGGCAGACTAGATTTCCCATGACAACCGAGATTTCCCAATCTTTTTGCTTGAGTAACTTTTAATGCAACGTATCCGCGCAATAAAATTCGAGATCTTACCATCTTACGGTTTCAACTGCACTTGTACGTTATAGCATTATATATCTTTGGATAACTGCCTTATCGCAGATCCAAAATTTTTTGGAGCAACAAACAGAATAACGTTTCAGTATCTCTCCGCGGTTTATTTATATTATTTTTTTTTTTTTTTACGAGCAAAATAGCGCCGATGTATATAAATTTCACACTCGTTATGCCGAATGACTAATGACACGTCCCAAGAGTCTCGCGCAATTTATATTAATGTTGTGTCTGCGCGATAAGTGTGCAAGTTCGTTGAATTTAAACATCATGATAAATTCGGCAATAAAACCCTTATCCGTGGCAGGATATTGCGGTTTAATTAATTATCTGTCTCGTGCGCGCCGCGAGCACCACGAATTAATTACGCGGTTTAACGAGAGTTTTTAAAAAGAGGCGGGAATCCCGCAATCCCTTCTAACGACCTCTTGGCTTATCAACGCAACAAAACACCGATAACACATAATTGAATTCACGTGTTATTACCGCGCGGATGAGTTGACAAATCGCGATTCGCCGATGTGTGTACTCTCCAGCGTCGATATATTTAATGACTTTACCTCTCGCCTCCTCCTCTACCCCTCCCCCCCTCCTGGTTTCCTTTCTTTCCGTTCGCGCGATATTATTTCATCGCCAAGCTATTAAGACTGTCAAATTTGGGAGCGTTATAAACTGGCGCAGAAAATTCAAAATGGCCTTCGTAACACGAAAATTGGGAGTGGTTGGAAAATCCGTCATGTCCGTCTGTTTGCTTGTGCAAAGAGAAATGGGAAGACGCAAAGGACAGCGGGCACGTTTAGTGGTGGCGCGCGCGAACAACTTTTTCAATTATATACTTCCGGATCGATGTATAGAACGATTCATTCCCGAGAATGATTCCCGGATTATCGTAGGATTATCCATCCCCGTCGATCCGTTTCACACACACATACACACATCACTTCCGCTCGTACACGTTATAATGAAATGTTTACAATCGATCCGTCTACCCTTTCGTTCCGATTCGCCGAAGCGTGATTTCAGACACGACAGCATTATCGAGTTGTGCTTACAATGTCGCTATTATTGACGAGTTAAACTACTGAATGGCATAATTTATGACATTTCTTCGTCACGTGAAACAAAGGAATCAATCAAATTGTAATTTTTAATCAATCGCTCCGATTATATCGCTCGAGAGCGATCGCTATCAATTGTCGCTTATCGTTTTGTAAATAAATCCAGATGAAATGGTTTGTTACGAGACGATTTTGATTATGCGAGAGCCACAGACACGCACGTGTCAAATTATCGAGAAGCAATTCGTGTGCGTTCCAAAACGAGAGGGAGATGAAGTAAAAGAGAGCAGGAATTTAAGCAGAATTTTGTCATTATCAAGTGTGCGTGTACGACGGTCTGACCTGCAACGACCGTAAGAGGTATAGGGATGCGAAGCGTGGAAGGGAGGATATAACGTGCGAGATCCAGGATAGTGGATGCAGTAGCAAACAGGCAGATTGGATTCCAGACTCGATTTACTGGAATGCAGAAATAACAGCTGGTGAACGGTCTCCTCTCGAGGCCGAGAGCCGACTTTGCAATCTCCTTCCGCCTTCTCCCGACATGCGGAACGAGCGAAGAAAGAAGAATATGAACGTCGGGAGAAAACAGTTCCTTCCTGAAGAAGAAAGTAGAAGGAGAATGTTGTATATAGATTCGCGGGACACACAATGCCCGACTCTATGCGTGTTTCTCTTTTCTCGCAGTAAATCTCTTCAGTTCCTGCGACTTCGGATGATAAAGTCATGAAGCGGACTTTGATCGTTCGGACTCTTGAATTGCTCGCGAAATATCAAAACACACGGAGAAGCGGCGGAAGAGAAAGAGGCACCGAGAAGAAGAAGAAAGTAGATACGATCGTAATAAATCTAGAAAATTCAAATAATCGATAACATTGTTTTATAAACAATTCGCTGTTTCTTTCTTTAAAAAATAAGGTGGAAATATAAATTATTGCATACCGATATATTCGTGAGTTTCATTTAATTATAATTTACATGATTACGTGAAATTCGTCATGCCTTCATACGGAATGTTATGGTGTCAGTCATATGTATAATACCCTTCTGCGTATAGGGATTAGCGTGGCGCAGTAATGTCGGCGTTCCGATGGATTTTAGCATTAGGTGGGTTGGGGTTAGTCGTAACGAGATTTGCAAGTTAATAATGAATTATTGTACCGTGAATTTCGGGTCAGCCAGCAATAGAATTGCGTGAACTATCCGATGGTGTGTTACACCAGTCGGACGTACGCTCTGGGATTAATAAAAACAGCTCATTTACATTTACAGCGCGGCTAAATACTATTTACGAAATGATGACATTAAACAGCCCCTTGCTGTCGTATATATCACAAGAATAAATTTAATTATAACTCGAAACAATTTGCAGATGGTTTGATGCTTATTCAAGATTAATTAGCACAATCATCAAAATTTTATCTCTCTCTTTCTCTGAGTTGTCAACTTTATATCAAACGATTTTGTAGTGATATAATTATGGTAAACTTACCAGCGAAGTACGCTAACATAGCCGTTAGCGCTACAGCCAGGAGAATCATCGCGATCGAGAAACATTTCCAGGAGCATCTGTGCTGACAACGTTTATCGATATGAAAGCGCGACGGCGAATACGGGGAGTAGTGCGGCACCGCTGCGGCGCGAAGCGGAAAACCCGGCATCACCATGGCCTGGCTCTGCGCGCCTACCGTGGCGGTACCGCCATTCCCGGCACCACTTAAACCGCCGCCCAGAGAACCCACTGTCACTTGCTGTTGCGGTGGCGGAAGCCTGAAACAAACGGTAATAATCGTTTGTAGAATACTGTCTAAAGAGCACATATGAAAATTCTATCATTGATAACGCACATAACACACGTCCGGAAAGATAAATATATACATATGTATGTAAATATATATTTACATACATTTACCTACATAAAATTATTTGAGTATTTCTAGATAATTCACACTTGACGCATTAATAACCGCAAATGGAATGATTAAGTGCAACGTCGATCAATATCTTTCACGTGTCTCGTTTAATACTGATTATTAGTTAAATTTATACCGATACTCATCGTTAGCGTATCGGAGTGTTGGATAATAAATGGGAGGGTTGACTGTACCCCGAGCGATTGCGCTTGTGATCTGATGTCGCTTCGAGGGCTATATCGTACTGACGATAAATCGACGACCAGTGCCTGTTCGGCGCACGTGTGCCAGCGGAGACGTGGCCATCGTTGAGGTACATAGACCTCGGTGCATCGACGATGTACGTTCGGGGATGCAGATAACGCTGGCCTTATAAAAGATGCAGGTGCTGCCATTAAGCTCGACATGGCGTGCGTCGCGTCTGTATATCGCGTGTGTATTGCGCTGATGCACGAGAGATATTCGCGAGCTTCAGCTTCCGAAAAATGCCGTTCACGCGAGAGATAGTGACAAAGTTCAAACTGCTTGTTCCGAACTCGCGCGCCAAAAACTTCCTTTTCATTATTAACGATATTGTTTTTTATCTTCATTTTTCCATCAAAATGGATAAGCGCCAATTGAAAGTAGCCAAATAAAAATAAATGTTGTAAAACATTAGATATTTAAACTATACGCTGTCTACAGAATACGTGTAAATTTTTGATGATTATACGGATTTAGAAAAATATACAGTACGTGCGACTCACGATTAAATTCCGCACGAATAACTCTATTGTCTCTCAGACAAATGATTGTTCTCAGCAGTAAATATAAAAATATTAATCAAGAGTGTTTTGTTGTTTGTAATTTTTCATCATTACTAAAAGACTTTACAGCCGTTTTATACATAAACATAAACAATATTCCGGATCTAAGTCTGAGAGACAAATATCTCGCGGATTGTTCGAAGATGTGAGCGCCTCTTGTTATTTAGAAAGAATCTTTGAAACGCGTCGTGCTTTCGCGCAATTTATAAGTTGCTTAATAAATCCGGTCCGACAAATATCATAAATAATCATGGTTGCTCTAGCATTTCCTATAAACATCCGCTCATATTTCCCGAGGCAGGAAGCAATCAGACGCGACGTTGAAAAAATATCTCTGGCAAAAGTCCCGTGTTCTTCTTATGCGGCAACGCAGGAAAAAGGAAATACGCGAGAAAGAGAGAGAAGGAATCTCGCGGCAATAAATATTACTTTTTCCTTGGGATCATTAACTTGGGAGCGGATTTCGCGCGCGGCGTAAAATTAATTTACTAAAAGTATATCGGCACTCTTCGAGTCCGACAGAAATCGCGACAAGAAAAAACCTAATGGCAAAATAATGGGGATATTTTCACAGCTGGATATCAGCCAGAGAAATAGTCTTATGTATGGTCTCTGGAATCATCCAGTGAGAGATATTTGACGAATCATTCAATCAATGTCGCAAAATTCGATTCAATGAAGATACACAGCACCAAGATGTAGGTGTATGTGTACATATTGTACGTGTCTTTAAACTTTTTATCTACTTCTTTCTATCTCGAGAGCATAAATAGTTCTGCACATAAAAAAAGAAGTTTCACCAATAATATCTTAAATACTTTTTTGCTTTATATTTAAGACTTTAAGTAGATTTTCAATGTCATACACAACATAGAAATAAATTTTCCGAGAATTGAAGATTAACATAAAATTGCGCATATATTGACGTAACATATCCTCCATGTTATGGAGTAATCGACAAAGCTGGTTCAATACTTCCTCTTTTTTTTGCATCAACTCTCACAATTAATTCACGAGAATTTGCCTTTACTTTCGTATTTCGTCTAACTTTTCGAAGTAAAACTCGGCGAGGTTTTCCCTGGGAAATAAATATATCTAACTTTCTGGCTCTGCTGTAAGAACCTCCGCTCCGGATAGATGTGTATGTATACGCGTGCCGTCACCCGGATTCTTGATTGCACGTAACAGACAAATGAAGCGAGGGGAGTGGCTGAAAATGAGATAAACTAGGAAAAAGAAGAGAGAGAGAGAGATAGTAACGGGAAGATACACTACGGAAGAACGTAGTAAGAAGCAATTCGACGCGTTCACGCCGCGGTCCCTCTCCAAAGCCGGGTTAATCCATTTGTGCGAGTAAATCGGTTAGATGGAATTGGGTTATATTTCCTAATCGATACGATGGATTAAGTTACCGGTCGATGCGTCCAATAGCACGTCGGTCACGACACATGGCTCTTTCTTCGGTAATTAACAACGGAGAAAATAAGATATAGAACGCTCGTTTTGTAATAACAAATAAAAATATAAATATAAAACACAAATAATTGACGTTTCTACGATATTATTGTAATCGTTTATAAAGCAGTATATATAATTCAATATGTTTTTTAAATATTATTAGAATTATTTTTTTTTTTGCACAATTACCAGAATGTACATTTTGAAGTGTTGATTTTAACGATCTGCGATTTTTCTCAGCTAAACTTGCTTGATTCAGAAATGCAAAGCTAAAGCGAGAAATTTGTCACAGCTCGAGTTTTAGAAAAAAATTTCGAAATGTGTATAGACACACACACACACACACACACACACATATATATATATATATATATATATATGTATAGATATATGTACACATACACACTCTCCTTTAATCAATAGAAAAGTGGGTCGAGAAACGCCGAAGTTTATTACCAGTAACTTCGGCGAATTGCGCAGTTTTCGTGGCGGCGGCGCTGCAAAGTTAAGATATCCCTGATTTAAGTTCAGTCGTAGTTCAGTCACGAAACGACTGTCTCTTTAAGCAGGTAGCTTCTTCATCCAACGATAGTGGTGGTGAGTGATGGTGAGTGAATGCAAGTTGTACGTGTACAAGACACCTCGACCGATTAAACCAATTGGATGGCTGTCTGATATATTGGCAGTTAAAGAGGTAATTGCGAGCGGCGTTGCTGCCACATATTGAGTTGAGTGTCGTCTGAGTGGAAGATTGGACTGTTTCAGCTGCGCGAGCTGAGGCTAGGATCGAGCGTGTGATCCAATTATGATGTAACGCATGTTCTATCACAGGAACGATTGGCAGCGATGGGTGCTGTGTATAGAATTTCTACACCATTGTACTAGCCCCGTGTCGTAAGTCCTTCGTATAAGAGTTTAAAGGGCGAAAGGCGATGGCCCTCGAGGGAAGTAGAGAACACGTGCATAGCTACACACATGCACGCGCGCTTAAATACTAGTTCTAACACTGGTTCAAAATTTCGTGAAATTTATTAATTTTTATAATAATAAAACACAACAAAACTATTTATACCGTGCTTATATATTTGCGTTATCAGATTGTAAAAAAAAGAACAACATATTTTATATGTGATTGTGTTCACTTGGACAATTTTCTTCCGATAACAGATATGTTCGCTATAAGATCTCTTTAATGTCTCTTTGTATTCTCTTCTTTACGAAACTTTCTTTGTACGAGAAACTCTTGAAACTATCTAACATCTAGTATACTCGTTCCGTAACTAACGTTACTCTCAAATAGTCTTCGATCACTAAAAAATATAATAGGCTCTTTCGTAAAGGTTGGGGTCATGAAAAAATCTTGGGAGTCGCTGATATTCGATCGTTCGTGACAAGCGGCGCTTATCCACGATCTTTTTTCAAGGGAAGATCGCGCTCGCAAAGGTGAACTACTCGTCTCAAGACGCGACAATCGTCGCATCAAAGAACGTAGCTCCGCAGGTGGTACGTGTAGAAAGAATCCTCATAAAAATCTGATATCCCCGGTCCGCGCACTGGTCGAATACATCTTCAAAGAAAAGATAAGATGACAGAGCAACGCAGGTAACACGACGCAGTGCAGTTGAAATTGAATCCCACTTCCGAGGTGAAAAATTACAATCGTTGCTGACATGTCCAGCGGATAATAAAGTCTGCTCTCTCTCTCTCTCTCTCTTTCTTCTTTCTCATTGTTTCCGTAAGAACATGTCGGCGCATATTTGCGTATCTTCCGACAGCCAGCCTTTTCACCGTTAAAACGACGCTTCTAATTATTAATTTCGGCCTTTTAATATTAATTAGACTCGCACGGCGAAGCTAGACATACTCTCTCTCTCTCTCTCTCTCTCATCGTATGATAATAGAACAACGTGATTACACTCAGATTATAATTTTAATCGCCCGATTACCGCGCCGAGGGAGAAAGCACCGTCTCGCGTTTGATGCGCTGGTAGTGGTGCAGGTCTTGTGTACATTTCCCGACACACGTGATAATAAATGTGATACCATCGAATATTCAGAAAGCCGCACGTCTGCGCTGCAAAGATTCCGCGATGTTGCAATTTTAAGACTGCGAAGCGTCTCGTAAACTATACACGCTTCGTGCGGAACTTTATCTGCCCGTTATCTTTAGCTAAACTTCCCGTTTGCGTGCGCGCACCGTCTATCCGGATATTAATTTTACGTTGTGAGAAATGAAACGTTTCCATAAATGACACACAAGTTATTTTCTTTCTAGAAAGTATAACTCGTATATATACATATATATGTCGCAAGGATCATGAATATTCATTGTGCGTACATTAACTTTATTTCTGACGAGTTTTAAAATTATATACGAAGAAACAGATAAATACGTCGGCAATATAAATGGGATAGAAAATGTGGCAAACTTAAATGCAAAAGTTATACTTTCCTTTTTACAAGTTTGCATTTTTTCAAATCTTCCGACGAAATATAGAGTTCCTGTGTATATTTTTCTACATCATGTACACATGCAACTAGCAGCAAGTTCACACCCCGCCAAGTAATGTTTCCGCGAGAAGTTATCAGATTA